ATACTGTGATGTGTTATGTACGTATGCTGTGTTTAACTTGAGGTGAATGGATGAATCATTCACCCCATTCATTGAACCATTGATTTTTAACCCCTCTCTATCTGCATTTATCTGTATTTTTGTTTGGGTTGTTGCTTTCCCACCTTATGAAAATGGGGGAGTCAGATAATCAGAATGTTGTTACGATTAATTAATTTTAAAATAAAGCTAATATGAGAAGTGTATTAATTTAAAAAACATTGTCTTTTCACAGTGGTCTTCATCTGTGATACTAAACTATTGAGTTGTTAAAGACAACATCCAGGAACAGATATATTAAATGTTATTAATGATATAAAGGTCACTTTTTCATAATTTGTAGCAATAAATTCTGATAAATGTATCATTATTTTTGTAATATGATTATTTGTTCATCATCCTACTTGTATTTTTCTTTTGAGGAATTAATAGTTATAAAATATATTTTGCACATAAAGTGATGTACAGGTATTTGTTCACAATTAAACCATAATAAATAATCTCACAGATTTTCACTGAATACCCATTATTCCTATTTATCTTTCTATAGAACAATCTCATTCAAATGTTCTCTCAAAACTCACAAAAGAAAAAAAAAGAAAGCGTGGGAAATACCAAGAAAGAGGCGAGAGGCAGGTACTAACATTGCGTAGCCGGCTGCCTCTAGGGATTTTGGGGTTTGAATCTCTGATCTTCATTCATCCTCCCTCAGTGTTTTCCATAGACTCCTCAGCTCTGGGTTGGGGCTTTGTGATCAGCGCTTACTGTATTGGCCAGGATCGTTGGTCTCCTATCCTTCATCGGGCTCACAGTATGGGTCAAGAGTTTGCGGCTCTGTCATGCACTTTTGACGGTTCAAAATCATCTGGACTCCATGCTCTGGCTCCACATGACCTTGGCGTTGGTGTGGTGTCTTCTATATTGTGCCATTCCTTGACTGTGGGGGCTTACGGGCTATTCATGCCCGTGCCACCTTTTGGGTGGCTTAATCTTCATCAATCGACTGTGAGGCCTCACGATATAGATGCCTTTCGGCTGTATTGGTCGAGATAGGGAAGGGGGAGGGTTCTTGTTCCTCTTCCATACCCCCCCCCCCATGTCTGGCTGTTGCTCAGTCTTGGGCAGGATGGAGTCCTACATCTCTAGACTGGAGTGTGGCCTCACGGCTGAGTGGATAGCGCCTGGGAGTCTTAGTCCTAATGGCCCGGGTTCGAATTCCGGCAGAGACAGAAACAAATGGGCAGTTTCACCCTATTTACTGTTCACCTAGCAGTAAATAGGTACCTGGAGGGTTAGACAGCTGCTTCCTTGGGATGTGTTAGAGAGAATGTGTAGTAGATATAATAGAGGAAAAATAAATTGGTTAGAAAAGTGGGGTCCAAGTGATATCTCGATTCTGCAGACACATAGTAAATACAGGTGGAAAGTAATTTTGGTTCCTGCTGGTTCGACCTTCTCTGCTCTTTGCGACTGATATTTCTGCCCCATATTTATCACCATCAGATAGGTCATGTGGTTCAGAAACCACCTGAACTATGGCGTTCAGGTGGTTTCTTTGATGGTGTTCCATTTGTGGTCGTCTTCGCTGTGACAATACGAGGTGTCATGGTTCTATTTTTGCCACTTTATTCTATTCGTTGTTGTTCTTCACTTTCCGAGCATGAGGTGTTCTCTTTTCTCTCCTGGTTTTTCCTTGATCAGCATCTCTTGCCGAATATTGTCCCCTCGTATCATCGGCGCTGGTGGAGCCGATGCAACTTGCATTCCAGGTCGATCTTTCCACGGCTCCGTTTCGCAAGCTGTCTCATGCACCGATTCACCTCCGGCCTGCTCAGATTTTTTTTTAAATTTTGTATTTTATTTTATTTATATATACAAGAGTTTTTACATTCTTGTACAACACCGACTGAGCCTGCTTGGACTTTGGATCTTGTTCTTTCGTTTCTCTCTTCTCAGTTTCCGGTGTCCCCTTCAGTTTGGAATTGTTTATTTCAGTCATTGGTTTGGTTTCTCTTGCTTCAGGTTGTCGGGTGGGTGAGCTTCATGCTCTCCTCTGGCACCGGAAGTTTTGTTCATTTAGCCTTGTTGGGCGGTGTGTTCATCTGCAGGTGGCACATCCTTTTCTGCCGTAGAACGAGTAGTTTTGTTTCCGATGGGTACTTTTGGTTATTGATGCTTGATAGGTTCGGCCGGAGGTGCATCATGTGTTTTGTCCGGTGGTGGTTCTGCGCCCTTATCTTTATGCCACCTACTTTTCCTCGGCGCTCTTGTGTGGCTTTGGGCCGTGTCTCTCGGTTGGGTGTCTTCATATTGATTCCTACAGCGTTTCTTCCTCCCTGGTAAGAGCCCGTTTCTTTTCTTTCTCTGCGGGTAGTTCGCTTCATGGAGCCACAAGGGGCTTTTCCCAGAAATCCAGCATTGAATGTAATGAAACGAAAATTTGTGGGTGAGACCCGGTGACACCTTGACCTCCCTCCAAGTTGTTGCTTTAGATTCAGCCACTCATAACCAAAAAGTTCTAAGCAGCAGGGGCTATGGTGAGCCCGTCGTACTTGGCACAGGAGATGTTCATGTGCCTTCTCTCCAAGTGTTGTTGTTTCAGATTTAGCTACTCAGAACGAAGTGTCCATGTAGCACGGGCTATGGTGAGCCCGTATCTCCAAGTGGTCGGGGGTTGGTTATAATAGACGCCGGTTGGCCATAGGCTGCCTCCTCCCCAAACGAGTGGGGATGGTGGGGTGAAGGAGCTTGTGCTAGTTTTGAGAAAATTCAGTTGTTTGCTTACATAGTTGGGGGAGTTCTTTTGGCGGTTTTCGAGGTTTCTTTCTCTGATGAATTCAGCAGTGGTCTGTTTCGTCTCGCCGACTTTCTGGTTGCTAACCCCGGTGGTGGCATAAATAAATATATATGCATACCACCGCTCCCTGCGCCTGTGAGGGTGACCAGAGGAAGCCAATTGAACTCCACAGCTGATGCGACATAGTAGCTACCACTTTGATGCACCCGGTACCCGCGAAAAAACTGCGCATTGTGAGCGCGGCGTTTTTTTCTCATGAGCGTAAACACCAAACAGTGTGTAATCTTTTCACTCTCCTGACACCAATTCTCGAGCTACGTATTTCCTTTTGGTATCAATGTGTTGACAATAAAATTCTCTACAAGATCATATGTATAAAATGTAACCAAAGCATTAGCTATTCCACCACGAAATAAATAAAAACGTAGATCACTCGCCATCTCGCCGTACGCCCAAACAGCTACAAAATGTTCATACTCTTTTGTTTGTTGTCAGCTCCACATTAGTCCTACAGCATTAAATTGTATATCACTGAACTCGCAATAAAATTCTCTACACAGACATATGCATATAAATGTAGAATCATGATCGCGGCCAACACAAGAGTGTGTGAAGTGGGCGATTACCCTCGTTGTGTCACCAACTCAATAGTCTCTCCTCTAAGTTACAATACAATGTCGTTTTCTTAAATAAGCATTGTGCCTATTAGAAAAAACGAAAATTTAATGGCAAACATATTCATACAAACCCCAAGTCGATCGAGTAGTATATACCCACTATAACACGGACCGTAAATGTACGACGCGACCCCACAAACGCTTAAATAAACCGCCCGTACATTCAAGTGTAGGGGGCAGAAAAGTGGTAGGTGGTAAACTATGAGTGATAACAGCTTGGGTGAACTACGGGGGCTCACCCAGAAATTATCATTTCATTACATTAAACGCTGATTTTTGTTTTAAAAGTGTGGATCTAATTGGCTTCAACAACTACTTCCATTAATGTATTCACTTTCCAACAATCACATCTCTTCGACTCAATTTAAAATCTTCTCTATTTATAAAGCTAACCATACCATAAGAATAATCAAGCGTACGCAGGCAATGAGTCACAATAACGTGGCTAAAGTATGTTGACCAGCACGACCAGACCACACACTAGAAGGTGAAGGGACAATCAAGCGTACCTTTGATTTTAAGGAAAAGGTAGTGATTAAATTGTATCAGCCTCTGGTGCCCCCCCCCCCCTCACTTGGATTATTGCATCCAGGGATCCTCATGTTCATTGGAAAGTAATAGCTACTTTGGAAAATGTTCAACACCGGGCAACAAAAATAATTCCAGAACTAAGCCAACTCATACCAGGACAGGTTGAGGGCCACAGGGTTAACAATGCAAACCAGACATGATAGGGTTGATCTATAATAATAACACTCATCGAAACGTTTGAAATACAGAACAATTTGGAGGATATTGATCTGGATAACTTCAAAAGGTCAGATGTAAGGCAGACAAGGAGTATAACGGTTTCAAGCTCAAAAATTAACAAGCCTCGGTGTAGGACAGAAACCACCGTCATGGCATTTTCATCAATGGAAGTATGGGGGGGGGGACCTTTGACGAGCCGCAGGCTTCCTGTACTCGTCGAGCCCACTAGGGTTAGTGGCTCTCAGGTAAATCAGGTGAAAACAGATGCTTTTTCACTCGTAGGGTATAAACTCCTTGGAACCACCTTCTGACCAAGCTGTAAATGCCAAAACATTGTTTCATTTAAAAATGCAACTGGATGAAATCATCAGGACAAATGGGGAACCTTTGACAAGTCGCCGGCTTCCTGTCCTCATCGAGGCCACTAGCGAGATGGTGGCCCACAGGTAAATTCAGGTAAATGATCATCGATCGATACCACAGATTGGCATTTGGCGCATTAATTAATAGTCATTTGGCTCTTACATCATACTGCGCCTACAAATACTAAACATCCTTAGTAATAATTCCTATAATTGACTTGTGAAACTTAATATAAGACAATAAGACATGATAGTTGTAATTATTACCGAGAGCAAATGCCGGCATATTTCAGTCATATGGTGTAATCATTAAAAATCATATATATAAGTTCTAGACTTGGCCGAAACGCCGTACATAACAGAATTAAATAAAAATACCGATGTACATAATCATTTATAAGTTCCATATCTTAGTTACGGTAGATTTTGTATGAATTTTGATGTTAGATTTGAAGTTGGCGGGGAAGGTGAGGAGGCGGCCGAGCTGCCAGCTCCACCAGACACAAGTATGGCGGCGACAAGACGGCTGCAGAAGGTCAGTCCGGCTCTCTTAAGGTCCTTTTCCCGTGGCAGTTCTCACCATGTGGCTTGACAGCTACACCAGGTGTGGTATAGTGTTCATGGAGGGAAGAGAGGCAGCCAAAACCCGCACACTGCCTCGGGGAGAGGGTTAAAATCACGTGACAGGTTGCCAAATCCAGGTCGTTTGGGGTAAATGTTTGGCTTCTCACGTCTAACTTAACCTGCTGTTTAGGAATTAAACTTGTCATTTGTTACGAAATTATGTTATTGAAGATCATTTTATTGTTTTGTGATATTCATTGGGTTATTATACTCGCAGTAGACAAGTCTTGATGGCCAGTTGTGTGGGGGATGAGTGTCAAGTTTTCTTTGATAGTTACCTGAAGTATGGTGGGTGGTGGCACTGGGGAGGTGGTGGCACTGGGGAGGTGGTGGCACTGGGGAGGTGGTGGCAGTGTGGTGGCACTGAGGAGGTGGTGGCACTGGGGAGGTGGTGGCAGTGTGGTGGCACTGGGGAGGTGGTGGCACTGGGGTGGGGGTGGCAGTGTGGTGGCACTGTGGAGGGGGTGGCACTGGGGAGGTGGTGGCACTGGGGGGTGACACTGGGGGGGTGGTAGCACTGGGGGGTGGTAGCACTGGGGAGGTGGTGGCACTGGGGGGGGTGGTAGCACTGGGGAGGTGGTGGCACTGGGGGGGTGGTGGCACTGGAGAGGTGGTGGCAATGTGGTGGCACTGGGGGGGGTGGTGGCAGTGTGGTGACACTGAGGGGGTGGTGGCAGTGTGGTGGCACTGGGGGGGGGTGGCAGTGTGGTGGCACTGGGGAGGGGGTGGCAGTGTGGCGGCACTGGGGAGGGGGTGGCGGTGTGGCGGCACTGGGGAGGGGGTGGCAGTGTGGTGGCACTGGGGAGGGGGTGGCAGTGTGGCGGCACTGGGGAGGGGGTGGCAGTGTGGCGGCACTGGGGCCGGGGTGGCAGTGTGGCGGCACTGGGGAGGGGGTGGCAGTGTGGCGGCACTGGGGAGGGGGTGGCAGTGTGGCGGCACTGGGGAGGGGGTGGCAGTGTGGCGGCACTGGGGAGGGGGTGGCAGTGTGGCGGCACTGGGGAAGGGGTGGCAGTGTGGCGGCACTGGGGAGGGGGTGGCTTCTTCCTATATAGATTCCATTTTCGTATCTTTTGGTCTCTGGCCCTCTCACAATTTCTTTTGAACCAATTCTGTTTCCTAGTTCTGCATTTCTGCTTTGGTATAATTTTTTTTTGTGCCTTCATCGTATATTTCACAAAACTTGACATACATCTCATTTACTTTATTTCCTAACAGCAAGTCTTTCCAGTCAAATTCCTTAAAGAAATTTATAAATTCCCCATAATGTCCTCTCCTGAAATCAGGGTTTTTAACTGCTTAAACCTCCTTATTTTCTTCTAGATTATAACGCATTGCATACTTTATTTCCAAAGACATGGTCATTTTTACCCAAGGGAGGAAGGTACTGGACGACAAATCTCTCTTCCTCTTTCTTGGTAAATATCAACAAATACCAGCATGGAGGGAACATTCCCTTCCGTCATCCTCGTAGCCTGTTTTACATGTTGATACATGAATGTTTCATTCATGTATCAGGATGAGGTTAACAAGTCTACAGGTCCAAAAGTCCTCTGTTCTAGCTGCATATGCCTCCCAGTCTATGGATTTAAAGTTGAATTCGCCTACTACCAACAGTTGTGATCTATGAACAAATCCACAAGGGCCGTGACAAGGGTTCAAACCTACGCCCGAGAGGATCCCAGACACTGCCTTAATCGACTGAGCTACGATATGGTAAAAGAATTGCAACCGGGAAATCATCCTGATTTAATGACGGATCCTGCAGTCTCTCGGACACAAACCAGGATTTTATGCAATTCCCCCATGCACTCGTTCTATGTCAGTAAGCTGTTCTTCCTCTTCGCCCTTTGCCCTTCGCCCTTCGTTGTCGTAGCTCAGTCGATTAAGGCAGCATCTGGGATCCTCTCGGACGTAGGTTCGAACCCTCATCACGGCCTTTGTGGATTTGTTCATTTGATGCATCATGCTATTGTGATTTCTGCGTGTAGTAAAGTTGTGATCTATCTTTATCCACTCTCGCTGTACTCTCTCTCTCATTATTGTTATAAGACCCTCTCGTTTATTATCCAGCTCTTCCCTTGTCCATGTATTGCATGGCGGTGGACTATGTGCATTTATGATCATTATTGTAGTTTATCATTCTGATTGCAGATCTCAGGTGTTATATCAATTTATTGTGGATTGGCAATCATTATTTCATTTACCTTTGGGTGTTCTTTCACCAGCACAGCAATTCCACCGCCTTCCCTAATTTTTCTGTCCTGTCTCCAAACTGAGTAGCCTCTTGGGAATACTGTATGGCCCCATTTTAAAATATCTTAAAGTTTCGTCTCCATGAGTGCTACAGTGTCTGGCGTCTGCAGCTGTATTACATTACTTGACTCCAGTATCTTTGATCTTGCTCCATCTATGTTGGTACATGAGCCACCCATGTTGCTCATCGTGGTGGCCAACTCATCTTGACAGCTGTACATATACAGATCCTATTGAAGGTTAATGTTTCTCTTCAAAACTTAAGATACTCTTTAACTCTGACTTTAGTTATGCATCAAAATTATATAGAAGATTTAAAGTACCATATTGTTAATATGACATCTTTTGTACATTGCACAGGAGTTGGCGGATATCCGTAAGTCTGGGATCAAATCCTTCAGGGACATACAGGTGGATGAGAGCAACATACTAACATGGCAAGGACTAATAGTACCAGTAAGTGAAATGCCTCGTGTTCACATTAACCGTTCAAGGGTGCAATTCTCCTGGTTCTAGGTTACCACCAAGGGCAATTCTTCAAATATACAATACAATACAATACAATACAATTTTATTTAGGTAAGGTACATACATACAATAAATTTTTACAAGGATTGGTAGACTTGTAGGTAGAGCTAGTACATACAATGCCTAAAGCCACTATTACGCAAAGCGTTTCGGGCATATAAATACAGTACTGTACTTTTCATGTTTTTCTTTGCAAAGTAATACAATATTTAAAAATGTGGAAAAATATTAAATTAAATTGTACTAATTAATACCTGTATATTTATACAGAATATCAAATTAAACTACTAGTGATACCAGTTAATGAAAGTTGGATAAAGTTGCAACTTAAGTTTAGGTTTTATATGTTGGATTTAAGGCAGTTTGCTCACTTTGCTGGCACCGAGGTATGGGAGACATGATTCCCGTTTTCTGCTTGGATGCTTCATTGATTGTTTATCGATTGTTTCTCTACAGTATTTACAAGTGTATGTAAGTGTATTAAATAACTAGATAAATTGCATAATTCACATAATGTTTCAATTGATAATTGTCTACCTGGTATAATTCATTACAACTATATATAATAGTGAAAAGCATGTAAACACAATATACATGGGTGTTGGGCTCTGGGTAATGACATGGGGCCTAATTGGCACCATATGTGCCCGAGTATAGATCGAAAACCAGGCATAATCCACCAGTGTGCCTCCCACAGATGAAGGCAGGGTTCCTAGTGCATGATAAATGTTCAGTTGTTGACTGGTTTACTTGGTATACCTCATTATAACCACATGGAGTAGTGAAAACCATATTAACAACATTACACAGAGTAATCACACTAATGTGATGTGTTAGTGTCTAGTTGACACGTGGCCTAGTTGACTAGGGTGTGCGCATGGGAACACCCACCGCGTTGGTTCAAACCTTCATCACGGCTCCTACAGATTTTCTCATTAACAACATTCCTATACGCATGTAATTACGTTGGAATTTAATTCAATGAGGATGACTGCATTCATCTAGTAACATTTGACAATGAAATGACAATGGATAATGAACCATGAAATGAAGGCTGCATTTTCAATGGATCAAGGTAAACTACATTACATGCAAATAGCTAATAAATCCTTATTTGTATCATGTATGATACAAATAACCACAGACAACAATTGCTTTAACCTTCATATGATAACATCATTAACATGTGAATCAACATATAACTGCTATCCTAAGAGTTTAAATTAGTTTTGTCATGATTTCAGGAAAATCCTCCCTACAATAAAGGTGCATTTAGGATTGAAGTGAACTTCCCAGCAGAATATCCATTCAAGCCTCCCAAAATCAATTTTAAGACGAAGATATACCATCCTAATGTGGACGAAAAAGGCCAGGTGAGTCTGCAGTGAGATTCATAGGTCTCGGGTGGATTGAAGATGTATTTTATTGGTACTGTAAGAATGTGTGCACTGGTGGCATATGGTGTTACAGTGCAAACAAACTTGCCAGGCAAGTTTGCAGTTGCCAGATGTACTCATAGTGCATGTTTTCCGTCTTTAGATGCTGGGTAGATTTGCAGGTATTTATTATCCTTCATGGGGTCTTAATCATATTTTCAAGTTTATAGAAAAATGCTAGTGTGGTTTAGCCATTTGTAAATGATGTTTAGGGAAAACTTCCCGAGACCTCTGGAACTTTGAGAATAAAGAGATGATAGATTTAAACTAACTAGACAAAGCAGCCGAAAAAATATAAGAAAATTCTCTTTCGCAAGTAGCCCGTGACAGCTGACTAACTCCCGAGGTACCTATTTGGGATGGTGCAATGTTACTTGGCTCTCTGCACCTGTGGGGGGGGGGGGGGTGGCAGACTCTGGTCCCTGGTAGGCTAAACAGAACTGCCGCCGCTACTGATGTAACCTGATAGATAGCAATCTTGGTGAGGTATCAAGGAGCTATGGGGCTCAGTCTAGAAGAAGGCATTACATTACATTCAGTGCTGGTTTTTTTTAGCATACATGTTGCAGTAAGTTCAATAGTTTTCAAAATAGTAGTGCTTTAAAACTCTCTTCTTTTGTGTGTCAAGAGTGGGGAAATTGTGGGACATGAGACAATTACTCGGTATGTACTTTATTAACCACAAATACAATTACTTTAAATTTAATGGTAGTGAATGTTTGCATGGCCTTCTCTTATTATAATGGCAAGTTTTGTTTCCTAAGCAAATGTAATTGTTCATGTGGTGTGTAATCATTACTGAACATTGTATATGATTAGTTATAAAGGTGCACCATGATGAGAATATATTTCATTTGCAGATAGTCTCCTGTAAGGGTTTCATCAAATCTCATACACATGGCCAATGCCCATAAATTAAGATTTATTGATATTGTATGTGTATACATTCACGTTTTCTAAAGAGTCCTTGATATAGTCTTGGTATTTACTAATTTTTTTATCATTGTTTAGGTGTGTCTCCCCATAATTAGTGCTGAAAACTGGAAGCCTGCAACGAAAACAGACCAGGGTGAGTTTTCTTTGTTTTTGATAGATAATTGTCTTGCTTTCTGACCATCCCCTACAATCACTTTTCCCTCGATAGAATTCTTGGTGAATCGGACATATTATATATTGTTCGTCTTATGCGTTTGTTCTCTTATTGGCATCCTCAGTAAATTTAGCGCCCTCTGATTATTCCGTACATTTGATGGTGTTACATAGCCTTCCCAGTTTGGTGCTTTCTTTTTGATACTGTAATTACTTACTTACATACCCTTTCCTGCTTGGTGCCTTCTTTGATAATTACAGTACTTACTTACTTGTACTTTTTGTTTATAAATATTTATTATGGTTACATATGTACTTTATAAACTTGTACATTTCATGCTAATGAAAAGCTACAAATTTCAGTGATTGAGGCTCTTATCAACCTTGTCAATGAGCCTGAACCTGAACACCCTCTTCGTGCTGATTTGGCCGAGGACTACACGAAAGACCGTAAGAAATTTATGAAAAATGCCGAGGAATTCACCAAGAAGAATTCAGAAAAGAGGCCAGCAGACTAACTGCTCTATATGTGTATAGTCTGTGATATAGAATGGCACTTTGCAAGCAGACATTTTACATAAATATAACTGTCCTGCTTTAAAATTTTACCGGCCAGATAAAAGTGACTTTTTAATTTTTGCCTTGTTGTATCGCCTTGGTCATAGTTCAGTACTTACACAATGGTAGTTTTGGCAGTGTATAATTTTAAGAATTTATCCTGAATTTCTTTTAATTGATTTTGTAAATTCTCTATAGTACAGTGATGCAAAATTGGTAAACAAATTTTTTTTTATACTTTAAAGATTATTTAATATTTTGTGTATGTAGTTTGTATTTATCTTAACTGTTTCATAGTGGAAGAAATTGTTACCTCCCCAGATGTTTATTATACCCACAAGTTGGTGGTGTCTCATTGTGGAGTTGATAGTTTAGTGTTTACAGTAACTGAGGACATGTGGAATTGGTATACCTTGATTGCAGGTGCGTTACAATACAAATACAAAAATTTAAAAGATTATTATTATTTTTTTATTATTATTATTACCAAAAGCTAAGGTTCAGTCAGATGCCATGCTTAGTATATTTTCGATGAATTTAAATGCATACCTAAATTAGTCTGCCTGCCAAGTGCCCATACATTCTTAGGACTATGTTATTCTTAAGTCGTGCTGTCTCTTTAGTGATTTTTTTAAATCACTTGGGTAGACTTGAATTTTGTTTACATATTTTAGCAACAAAGAACTTGTGTAAAATTGAAGAAAATCCTATGGTAAATGTATAAATGCTACATCTTATCTTCACACCATCTCTCCACAAGGCCTAGTTTCCTTGGGATATGTGAGCTTTTCCTTTAGATTTCAATAGAATCGCAGGTTGTACCATAGCTTCTAATATAACTTGTGGTTGGTCTCGACAATTCATACGTAAAGTGCTTTGATTATGGTCACACCAGTTCTGCTGGGTTAATATATGGGATCGATGTTCAATATGAGGAGACATGTGGCACTTTGTAAGACTGCCATACATGTAGGAAAATATAAAGTACTATAATAACTTAGAGCTGTATCAAGAATTTAGGTATAATGAAGTTTTAATAAATGGCTCAATTAGTTTAATTATGGCATGATAATTTTGTTATATTGAGACGAGTTGGGTATAATAAAATGGAATAAATATGGTTTTGTTAAGTTTATTTAATGAGGGATTTGTTACTGTATCTTGATGGCAGTAAGACAAACTGTTAATAACGGTCCCCTTTCGAGAAATGCTTATATTCTCGCGTAATGGTAATCCTCATGCACACGAGTCGGGTAGGCTATAACCAGTCAAGTTAGTCAGAATATATCGTAAATGCAAAAATTCCGTGATGCTTAATATGTATGCTCTTAAGTCTTCTGCATAGACTGGATATTTTTTATATACAATAGTAAGGATCCTTAAAATCTTAAGGATTTTTCCAGAAAACTGCCAGCTGTGAAAAATGTTATTTCCCATCTTGAAGTGTTGTAGACAATTTTTTTTATGTAAATCTTCCCATAATTGCAAGACATGTTAATGGATGTGATGACTGTTGATATGCTTTGTGATAAGCATGGTGATTTTTGTCCCCAGACAATTATGGTAATACACATTTATTGCAGGTTACAATCTTGGTGTGGGATCCTGCTAGCATTTGTTAAGGAGGAAGCCATATTGGCTGTGCTTAAGGTCTGTTTGTGAAAGCATTAATTGTAATAGTTTGAGAGACAATATGTACGAGAACTGTTTGAAGAGAGTTCAGAGCCATTGTTGAGATTTTTTGTTAAGTCTTGGGATTTATAACTTTAAACAAAAAATATTTAAGGTAATTATTGCATCTGAGCAATAAGCAAAAAATTTCTTGCACAATTTGATAAAAATTATCCAATCCTTGTAAAATGTTAATGTATATTGATTTACTGTACTGTACTGTGTCCAAGTAAGAGCTGTGAGCCTTGTGTGTTTGTTTTTCATGGAAGCAGATTACCATTTTATTTATTATGGGACTCAATTATCTATACATACAGTATTTGCCAAGTTTCTTTGTCTTTTTAGCATAATTGTTGCACGAAATTTTAATTGTACTGCGCCCTTTGTTCTTAATGCAAACTTGACATTCATGTGTTTTGATGTGAAATAAGATATTTATAAGCATTATTATTACATAGCACATTAAAATCTGAATGCAATGTTTATTATATATGTTAAAATGCATTAGAATTTAAATTACAGCCATGGGCAGTTTTCATTGGTAGGATAAGTAGGATGTAATGTTCATTTCCAAAAATGAAAATAAGAAATGTATTGAAATTGTGACTGTTCCATGTGATTGTCCAGTAATATAAACACAAGGCAACAATACTGTACCACCAAATGAAGATAAGTGTGTATCGGATGTAGAAAACCTGTCCACTCGTTCGGCTTGCCAATTTTTACACATTTTGTTGTATTACTCTAGCTAAAATTACAATACTGTACATCAAATTTTCATAGGCTTTTTATTTTGAAGAATCCCTGTTGCAAAATAACTTAAACAAAATTTCAAGAGGCATTCAATCGGTATCAGATAATTACTTGTTTCATTATCAACATTTAATATAATGGTTTGAGTTAGTTCTTATAGTTCTTGCAGTAAGAAAAGTCTCAAGTTATGACTACAGAGTTCTGGTTATAATATGGATTGCTATTTTATCTAATTTGGTAGATGGTTTACATATCTTGAATGATTCAGTAGTTATGATATAATGCCTTGAATGCCTCTTCACTGTGCCTGAAAACTGACAACTTTGGTATAAGATTACATCCACTTTCTTTTGGAACTTATTTTTGTTTAATTTCCTTTTATACAATGAAATCATAATAACGTGATGAGGAAACCATTTAAGCAGGACCCTTTCCTTCAGCAGTCTCGCTTTGTTGTGGTGAGGGGGCTTGTGTAACAGTACCTGGGTCTGGTAGGGGTTTCCTCAGTTCCTTCTTCTGCCCCTCAGTGTTGTACCTGTAAAGAACAAAAGGATGTTGGGGGGGGGGGGGGCCAGTTCAGGTCAATGGATCACCTGCCAGAGGGGTTGCTTGTGAGGGGGGACACCTTTAGAGGTTGGTTGAGTGTCTGGGCTAAGGCAAGAAGAAGAGGGCTATGCACTGGTTTAGAAGAATGTACAATTCAGGGGGACCACAGCATCATAATCAAACATGCACGATTCCCTGAACTGCTATGTACCATGTTCTATTTGGCTTTGCTATATGGCTTAATACATTGTATTGCCTGCTTTCATTCATCCATCCTTTTGAATCATCATTCATCTGGAATGATGATTCCTTTGCATCCATCCTTTTTCACCCGGACATTCATTCCACTGCTTCCTATATCTTAGAGTAAGTGGTATATAATCTTCCATTTATGTCCAATCATATTTTCTGCTTTCTCCTCAATCTTAAACACCTCTTACTCATTACCAAAGTCTGTGCTCCTTTTGGGTGATTTTAATTGCCGCATGCCCTTGGGATCGATGCTTTGACAAATATTCAAGGCCGTCTTGGAATCTTTTGACTCCTCTACAATCTCTCCAGATTGCCAGAGAACCAACTGTAGACTTACACTCACTTTCCTGTATTGATATCTCTGCTCCTCTTCCATTTATATATACCTGATGTGGAGAGTCCTCGATAACCATAGGTGGCCATTTTCCCATCCCCATAATCCTTTCTCTATTTCCACCCTTCTCTCTCTCTTCCTGGTGGCAGTTTGATAAGTAACCCAGATTTGGCTAGGAAACCACTTGAATATTTTCAAATGAGTAAATATATACAAAAGCAAGTAATTGCTTTAACAAAATGACTGTTGGTAATAAGTCCTTATTAGTTGTCCACTGGATTTAAAACTATGAATTTAGGGGTCCGCGAGATCCGAAAGATTGGTTACCGCTGTACTAGAGCCCAGGCGAATGAAACTGGATAGGTTATCTTGAGATGATTTCGGGGCTTAGTGTCCCCATGGCCCGGTCCTCGGCCAGGCCTCCACCCCCAGGAAGCAGCCCGTGACAACTTACTAACTCCCAGGTACCTATTTACTGCTAGGTAACAGGGGCATCAGGGTGAAAGAAACTCTGCCCATCGTTTCTCGCCGGAACCACAGGATCACGCATCCAGTGTTCTGTCTACTCAGCTGCCGGCTTATGTTGAAGGCCTCACCCTCAGCAATGGTAATTACCTAGGTGTAGTTACAGGATGAGAGCTACGCTTGTGGTGTCCCATCTACCCAGCACTTGTGTAAAATGTAATGGTATACTAATATGTGTGTTCTCTTCCAAGTTTGTTTGCCCTCACCTGTAAACTGTTTAGCATATTGCTCTTTTCACCGATGCCTCTTACTATGTAACCTTCATTTTCTTACCTGAAGTGTATCTCTTGTTCTTTCACCTCTATTATTTAGTTCTCCTTTCCTACTAATATAATGCAATTATTCCTCATTGTCAGGCATAGTAATCCTGTTAGGCTTATCAAGGTCCCCCTTGGCCAACTAGTGACCTTCCTCAGGATGCAACCCATAGCAGTTGCCTATTTACCACTAGGTGAACAGAGGCATAAGGAGTGAGATTCTCCTAGGACAATGAATGACCTTTCCCAAGATGCAACCCACAACAGTTGCACAACACTTTAGGTGCCTGTTTAGTGGTAGTTGAAGAGGTAGAACCTTCCGGTTGTGAACCCACTGTGCCGACCACTGCTCTGCCTCCTTGATGTTACTTTCAGTGTGTAATGAGAATATTTATACCATACAGGAATTTAATATAATATAGTACATACACAAGTAATATTGTTATATTTAATACAGTAATATATACAAATCTGTAATTATAACAGCTAATTACCAACCCATTATAATATACCTGGAAATTATTCTTAACTTCTTAGTGTTAAACTGCATTATAAATATCAACATTTCTATACACAGGATTTTTTGCAAGGTAAAATTAACAAAGCATGTTATTCTTTTATCCAATTTCATGAGAAAAGTCACCTTTGTCACACCCCAAGCATAAATCATGTACTGTATTGCATATAATACAAGGCCTAAAAGCAACAGCTGGAAACTGCAATTTAATATTTATGCAGGGAGTTGCGAGTGATGTTGCACCTTCAGTTAATCCATAATCATGCAAGCCTTTCCCAAATATTTTTGCATATGTTTGAAATTACTCCACTGTCTCGCAGGACCTTTACAAGCTTTGCACTAGTTATTACTGGACTCATTGTAATTCTCACATTACAAGTGTGCGATACTTTCAGTGTACAAATCTATTTTGACAACTTGGCAACTTCTGACAACTACTTACATTCTACCGACATTTTAATTACATCTCAATAAACTAGACTAGAAGGTGGAATGGTTTCTTTTTATCATCTGGAATATGAATGCTATTAACAAAAATGTAATTGATACTCATAATAAATAATGAGTATGTAATTTGTTAAGATATGTTCATGAAAATGCTGCAATTGTTGTAATGTAAAAAGAAAATAATATACACTAGAGAAAATATATAGCTAGGACAGTAAAGTTAATTAAACAGCATTTTAAGAATATATATGGAATATGCAGACAGAAGTCATATAATTTTAATACTGTACTGTATATAAAAAACACAGCAGAATCTGCAGTGTTTTTAAGAGACTCTATTTTCCACATTAATATATTTATGATATAAATAAAAATTATCCACCTATAACAGCTTTTCTAGATATATATAATCCAATTTTATATAAACATGAATTTTCAAAATGCTTGCAAGGTTTTTTGTGTATTTTTTTGATCAACTAGAAAAGAAGATCCTCCTCTTCGTTACTATCAAAAATGGTTGCAGCTGCTGCTGCTGCTGCTATTTCTGCTGCATCCTCTGCCTCCTCCTTCAGCCTATCAGCCTCCTTCAGTACTAGCCTCTCCTGTTCTGCCTTCTCCCTGATCTTCTTTTTCTTCTCCTGAATCTTCTTCAACCGATAAAATTCTTCACGTTCAAGTTCATCTAGTTCTGAGATGATGTATGCCAGTGTGCGCTCATAGCGTGGAATGATAACTGTTAAGCAAAATCATTTGTAAAGGTAAGTAATTAACATGTAAATTCATCAAACTTTACATTCAAGTGTCTAGCCTAACCTGAAATCATATTGAAGGTCACAGTTGAAGATGCTGGACTAGAGAGATGTAGCATGTAGACTCGCTCAAAGATCAGTCCTAGACCTTTTGCTATTTCTAATTATATTAATTACCTACCAAAAAGTCTGAGGTTGTACATGTAAGTGTTTGCAGATAATGCACAAATAATTAGAAGAATGAAAACTAAAGAAGACTGTAGTGCTGCAGGAAGAATTTGACAAGGTGCATGAGTGAGCAGACAAATGGCTGCCAAATTCAAACCCCAGTAAGTGTAATGAAGATGGGAAGGAAAAAAAAAGGAGACTTAGAATGTAGCTACACCATAAAAAATAAGTAACTTTAGGTATGAGAATGAGACATGATAGTAGTTATAACACTGATAAATTCATTAACATCAGTAGCATATGGGAAGCAGGAAAATATATAAATCGTATTTGGGAACATTAATAAAGACTCTTTCAAACAATTTATACAGCATGGAATCCATATCTAGTGAAGAACAAGAGCAAGATTAAATAGTAGAGAAGTCTGTTACAAGACTTGTGATTGGACCAAAAAGGTTTTAACTGTGGATAGGTAGGAGAACTCATACTATCAACTCTTAAGAGTAGAGAAGGATTAGAGGGGATATGGTCACTAAATACAAAACTTGATAGAAACTGACATAACGGGCAAGGAGTGCTTTTAAAGTGTGGAAAAATACAAGAGGACATGAGTGGAAGTTGGAAATGCACATGAGATGTGAAAACACCATCCTTACTGTATAAAGGTGAACAAATTGAATGAAGTAGCTGGACAAATTCTTGTCCAATCCGATCAGCTGGATTATAATTGATACATGGGGCATAAAAAAGTGCTGGCTCCATACTGAGAGTGGAGAAAAGAACTCTTGAAACTGATCACAGGTAAACTATTCTCTAATTTCTTCCCTGCTTGCTATCTTTTATTAACCTGAACTATTATTATCAACCTTGAAATCTATATATCATTAGCTTACTTGTTCATTTTATTTCCATTTATAAATATTAACTTACATCTCGTATGACTCTTATCTATGAGAAAATCCACTAGGGCTATGGATGTGAACCTACGACCTCGGCATTTGTATGCCGTAGTTGGCATACAACTGGAACTGAACCTATGACCCCTAATGCCGGGTCGTAGGTTCCAGTTCATAGCCCTAATGGATTTCCTCATTGATATATATCATCTTAATGTGATTTCTGTGTGACTCTTAACTATTAACTACACAGTACACATACAATCTTAACGTTTGGCCAAAATACCTGTACTGCATGTCAGCCATTGCTTTATAAAACTATACATACCTTGTACTGTATGTAAACATTGATTACAAACTCTTATGTAATATTTTGTATATATAAAATATTATTATTATTACAGTATAATTATGCTCACCATGTTCTATGGCATTTACTCTGCGATTTGTAATCTTAACTGCAATGTCAAGAGTTACAAATGATGCCTGAAGTGAAGCCAGTTGAACCAACAACTCGACCGCACGTTTGTAATTGATCTTGAGCTTTGCCATCTGTTGACCACCACGGGACAGTCCAGTCAACTCATAGGTGTCAGCACCATCTTCAAAGCTTTCAAAAACTGGAAGATTGGTACCTAGAAAAAATGCAGAGGTCAGTGTTGTATTTGATACAAATCTTGATAGGAGCATCACAATAAACAGGAACAACAACATTTTGCAATCAGTAAGTGGTTCTGGATGAGGTTTTATACATTCAGAGGAACCTCGAGTGACAAGCAGACCATCTATGAGCATTTCAGGTAACGAGCGAGCCCCTCGTGGACAATTTGTCTAGATTGACGAGCTTCCGCTCGATTAACGAGCAAACCATGTGGTGCTGTTCTTGCAAATTCTCAGACAAATTCAATTGTACTTTTCAAGTTCAATTGAATTGAACTTGAAAATTCATGTATCTTGAAAAGCTGAGTGAAGTCATGTATCTTGAAAAGCTGAGTGAAGCTAGCCCCAAGCCTCCAACCTTGGACAGACAGACACACTGTTTTGTAGATATGGACCCTCCAAAATCCAGATCATATCTTGTTATGTACCCAATCTGGATTCATGAGAAATTGAGATTTCTGAGTTATTGTCCTTTTTTTTGGCTTTTTAAAAAATAATTCCATGTAATCTTTATTGGCATACCTAGCATAATAAAGTTTTCAGGATATGGATGTGAAACCTTGCAATAGTTCACCATAGTTTCTTAAATACAATATACAGTACAGTGCTACTAAATTTCAAGATCATTTACATGATGTGTAAATAACTTGAATTTTCACCTATTTGAAAAATAAATTTAATGTAAAAACCTAAAAACTTAAGAGTTAAAGAAATCTGACACAGAATAAGATAGCTCAATTTTTTTTATTGGGATTCGATTTCTTGAGTTTTCACGTTTTATTGCATCCCATGGGATGGGATGCATTTGAGAATAATTGCCTTAAATAAATCCTTACCAGCAACATTGTCCATTTTACATCTGATCTTGATGCGGGACCTTGTGACATTCTGCAGCACACTCTGGTTGAAGTCACCACCAGATGCAAACTTGGCTTCTGCCAGTGAAAATGCTGCATCCTTCATCACATCTCCCATCAGGATTTTGGTCTAGGAAGAAAAAAATAATATACAGTATATTAAAGCATTATCATTCAAGTATACCCATTTAAGGACAGCAAGCCTGTGACTAGTTGAAGTCCCACAATTTCTGGGAAAAGATTCATTCATGTAGTTACCCATTCAGTTACAGGCCTGACTAAATTGTTTAACTTGACTGAATAAGCTATATACACTATCCATGGCATCATGTCATGTGATCGCTCTTACAAAATATAGTATAAATATACAGTGCATCCAGAACATTATCAAATATATTTTTGTTTTCCTATTTTTGAAACCAGGCTTATCGAGGTACCCCCTTACGCCCACTACTGACCTCTCCCAGGATACCACCCAAACCAGTTGCCTAGCTCCTGGGTACATATTTACTGCCAAGTCAACAGAGGCATCAAAGGTGAAAGGAAACGTGCAAAAATCATCTTGCGTGGGAACTGAACCCAAGACTTTGCATATACAGTACAGTACATACTGTACAGTAGTTTTGAATTATATTCATCCAATGAAGTGCAATTAAACCAACATGCTTAAAACTGGAAAGGTGAACCAGTACAGAACCATGTTTCACCCATTGCTCATATTTTCCATGAAGGTGGTTTATTACTTTAAAGTAGCCAAGTTCATTATCAAATGTTTATATTCATCATCTTGTGAAACATATTGAATTTTCCCAAAATGCAGAAAAATCCCAGAAATAATAATATTTTTCACAAGGTTTAAGTTTGAGTCAGCATAGTGTCACATGGAATGTATTCCTTTGTAAAACCAGGATTCTACTGTGTGTTACAGCACTATATATAAATTATTGCATACCAAGTTTGCAATAGTACAAAGAGTGCTTGGTCCTCTCAAATAGTACCTCACATTTTAATGTATAAATCCTCTAAAACCAAAAACTGATGAATATATTCTTTAAATGAGTTATGCATTTTCTCATTTATGGTTAATATGACAAAATGGTTTAAATGTGCTAAAATTCAATTTATGAATATAAATGTGAGAAAGATGATCAGCAAAGACATAAATAAAAGAATTAGGTGAATTTGTAAGACTTAAGTTTGATAACACCTGACAGAAAGGCAGAGGACAGAGCAACAAATTATCTCACACACAGACAGCCAAGGCAGGCATACACATACAAAGCACAGCATACACACACACTAATCTATTAAGAATAAAAAACATTTTGTCTTTGATAAATTCAAGTACAGCAATTTAATTTTGTGCTAACTTGACCAAAAGAACATGCAGTACTGTACCTCAATAATTTTAGCTAATATCTGCCTGAACCGCATCTGGAGAGCTTCAGCTTTCTTTTTCAAAAGTGAGTGGCCCTTCACAGCGCCTGCCAGACGTGCCTTCATTGTTGTCTGGGCCCTGTAAACATTGATATTAGTACTGTACAATATATTTTAATTTGCATATTCCACATCTGTCATATTTTAAGTTCATATACAGTACCATCTTCTCAAAATTTTTAGAAATTAAAAGTCATGATTTTTTATATCTAGAGTAAAATTTTTACTCTCTGGACAGTTACTGATATTCACAGTGGATTAAAAAAATATATATGGTTTATTGCAAAATTAAACTTATAAAATGGCATGTAATACACACTGTATGCTGGGATATTTACTAATAATTGTGGTGTCCAGAGTTTTACCAAATATCCAAGTGACCAGACACCCTGGCAGTGGTCACCAGACATATATATATATATATATATATATATATATATATATATATATATATATATATATATATATTACCCATTTATTAAGGAATTTCAACAATATAACTATTTATATAATGGTCTATATTATACATCCCTTCATTTTCATGCTATTAGGCAACACTCAAATTAAATATTTTAGATGTTTGGTTCAGTGAGTGTCAGGAGACTAGCATCCAGGTTGTTGAGACACATGCCAGGTAATCCAGTGTTTGGTACCTCATTTTTGGAGAACCATTGAGCCTCAGGATCTGATATTATTGGATAGGGTAGAGCTTTTATTATTATCATCATCATTGTTATTATTCAGAGAGTAATCATACTAACATGACTGCATCAATGAGAAAATCCATAAATGAGAAAATGAGAAAACCATGTTGTGATTTAGTCGCTAGAGCGTGTGCATGGGAACACCCACCGCATAGGTTTGAACCCTCATCACAGCTTGTGTGGATTTTCTCTTTATTATTTGGTGACTTAATTAGTCTGAAAATTAAAAAAAACATACAACCATGTTTAGGGATGCAATCCTTGGGTACAAGAAGCATGCTTACTGAGGGAGTAGTGTTCAATACGAGACAAAATTTACACCATCATTATGTCATCGCTACTCTTTAAACAAACCAATTCCTTCCTAAGCTTAATGAAAACAAAAGGAATTTTTGTTTCATATACTGTGAGTGAGGCATGTGATATCACTATGATGTCACCAACTTGCCTACGAGGATCCTTGAATACAAACATACAGTGTTGAGGTCCTCCTTGGCCAAGAGCCAGGCTCTCCGTGCACCCTCCGGTACAGTTAATGGCCACATCCAGCAATAATTATCCTAGCACCTTCACAACATTCTAAGATAATACATCGAACCAAAGCCACATACCTCCTGATTCTACTTGAAACATGGTCTGGGTCTTTATTAATAATTATTTGAATTTCCTGCACTTTCATATTTGTATAAAACCAATTTTAAAAAACCTATATTCTTTCTAACAATACTTATTTTGCCGTTAAGGGGAAAACTAGATTGCTCAGTCATGTAGATTAAGCACAACTCACCCTCTGGAGGGGAAAATATTAATTTTGTCTTTGCCAGACATCTTGACAGTCCTCGGCGCCTTGTTTACAAGTGACGGGACCCTCGACCTCAGCCCGGAAGGATCAATAATTGCAGATTTTGAAATTTGCCACGTAAATGTTAGCTAAAACTAAGTTAGCAATATGGGTTTATTAAATAAACTTAAAGCAATATAATCATATCTATTTGAGTTAATTACACTATTTGGGGTTTAATAAAGCAATAAATTATATGATATTATCGTACACCTTGTATCAAGTCGAGGGTTCGTTATAAGTCAGCTGACGAGATTTTGTCCGATTTTACTGGCGACATGTAATTAATTTAATAATTATTTGGTTCGTATCACCGATATTTTATAATAATCTATTTTTAAATTAATATAAATTATATTTAGATACTAAAATAAATATTATATTAGAAGCCAGTGACAAACATCATCGTAGGAATAAGTTATCCTAAGGAATCAAACACGGCGTGTTCCATTCAGCGTCGAATGTCACTCATATTTATCACGTGAGAACAAAACAATGATAGATATTAGTGAATGTAAAGTTTATTTATGCAGATATGACAAAAAATTTAGCACAGCATATTTTCTTTCTTAAGCTTGTATAGGTAAACACAGCTTTTATTTTTATTAGTTAATTATATTTACCTGAATTTACCTGAGGGCCATTACAGTGGTATAATAGACAGTATCCTTAGGAGCTACAAGAATTTTGCCCCAAGAATCTAACAATTATATGCTGTACTTGCTGTATGCAATGTTAAATGGGATTCTTGTACTGTTATATGTCTATTTGTACTCACTGAATTTGTGCGCCCCTTGAGGGACTTGAAGTAGAGGGGGGTAGAAATAGCCTAAGCTACTCTATCCCTTTGAGATGTATTTATTGCTTATCTCAATAAACATACTTGAACTTGAACTACAGTGGCGTCGACGAGGACAGAAAGCCGACGGCTTGTCAAAGCCGTCGGCTTTGACAATGGGAAATTAAAATGAGGAAACCTGTCAAAGGTTCTCCCATTTGTCCTAATGTTCTCCCATTTGTCAAAGTTTAAGTTCAAGTATGTTTATTGAGACAAGAAAAAATGCATCTCAAAGAGAGAGTAGCTTAGGCTATTTCTACCCCCCTCTCCCTCTACTTGAAGTCCCTCAAGGGGCGCACAAATTCAGTACAAAACACAGTCACTGAGAAGGGTGTCGACGAAATACATGCAGACTTTGTTATGCAAGCCCCTTGGGAATCTCCACCAGCAGACTTTAACTTTGGAACATGCTCTTGCTGAACACCGACAATATGTTATCATACATACAGATTCGAGAACCGCCATTGAAACCTTGCAACAAGAACACATATGTGATAACATACATCTGATCACAAATGTCATATCATTAATGCAAACACTCAAACGACAAGGCCGACGAGTACTTATCAACTGGGTGCCAAGTCATGTGGGAATAATAGGAAATGACATTGCAGATGAAGAGGCAAAACTTGCAACTAAAAGAAATATAGACATTTACATACCACAGAGTCTATCACAGATTAAGAAAGTAATTAGAAACAGAGCAATGCAAAAGATGTATAATGACCACAACACAGCAGTTGCAACATCAGGATCTGCGGGTTGGTACAAGAATTCAACCAACTACGAACCACTTTATTTGATGAAAGGGAGCAGTAGAGCAACAGAAGTACACTTACATCGCATCAGGCTTGGATACCCATGTGCATGGGAAATAGGTTTACAGGTTCCGGAAGATGAGAGGAAATGTCAGCACTGTGGAGAAATGCCTAACAGACCATTAGAACATTATCTAACACAGTGCACAGTTACAAACCCATTAAGATTTCAACTTAGATTCAAGAGAGCAGAAGTTGTTAAACACATATGGCAAAATTTTACTGAAGCGACCATATGAGTCATAAATACTCATACTCCGCCCAAGTAAAACAGAAACAAGCAACATTTAGTGGGCCAGCCAGAGGCTTAGGGCCCGCGCAGGAATATCCCTGAAAAAAAACTCAATGTAACCTACCTTACCCCTAAATGTCAACCCATGTCTACGATTTTAAACAATGCTGTCAAATGGTATTTTTGTTTTTTTCTGCTGTGTTCCCCCCCCCCCCCTTTTTTCATTTTTTTCTTATTTTTCTCAACACAATTTATACTTTAATCTCAATTAGTATTAAGTTTTAGTCTTAATGTTTTTCCTGCCCGAAACGCTTTGCGGAATAGTGGCTTTAGGCATTGTATGTACTAGTTCTATCTATATATCCATCAACTTTTGTATTTCACCTTGTATGTATGTACTTTACCTGAATAAATATTTGTATTTGTTTTTGTATTTGTATTTGTTCAGATAACTTGTATGGTCTCGCAGTAAACATTGCATGCGAATGTTTGCTTCATATTATGGCTAAATTTAATTGATGAATTCAACATAATACCCTTTTCGATAACAAACTACAAATAAATAATTTAATATTAAATGTTAAATCCTGGAATTAATATACAATTATTTCCATCCCTATCGACAATTAAGTATTTATGTACGGGAAGCTATAATGAAAGCATTCGAACACAGTATGCAACATGGCGACGGAAGGGGAGGAACAACTGTCAAATGAACCAGAAAAACTGGACGATACTGACATAATAAAGCAGCTAGACTTGCAGCTTGAAGAGGTATCGTGATAGTGTTTGGTCTATGTCATTTGATGGTCAATATATGTGTAAACCACTTGATTTGATTGAATGATTTTGTGTAGTAATCCATGCAGGCAGATCAACTAACAACAAACCCGTGCCGGCAGTAAAAGGAAGATGTCACACACCTCCTGCACACTATATATAAAACATAACATTTTATCTCATATATTTCTGAGGGTAGATTTGATTAGGTTAGGGTAAAGAGTCAGAATCAACCATTCACTGAAAGTTGCACAACACGTGGAAGCTCCAGTAAAAAACAAACTAACAAACCCTAGGAATAGCCAAACGAACCTTTGACTTTAAGGAGAATAAAGTAGTTATTCAACTGTATAAATCTCTGGCGAGTGGATTATTGAGGGGGGGGGGATGGTGAATGAGCTACATATTGCTATTTTCAAGAGATTTTGATCATTTGTTTACATATTTGAGGAGCTCTTTAGGCAGGTTTTAAGGCACGGGTCTCTTTTTGAAGCCAGCAGGGGTTTGTTTTAACTTGCTGACTTTCTGGTTGCCTACCTTGATGAGGCGACAAAAATATATACCACTTTGCCCTGTGCCTCTTTGAGTGGGCCAAGTTCTAGCACTGGTCCCTGGTAGGCCTATAGAACTCCATGGCTGATGTGAGTCTGAGTCTAGTAGATGGTACCATCTCAGCATACAGTAGCTTCAGGGAGCCACAAGGGACTTTTTCTCCTCTCCCAGAAAAAAGAAATACAGTATCAGAGTATCTACAATACAACAATACAATTTTATTTAGGTAAGGTACATACATACAATAAATATTTACAAGGATTGTTTAACTTATAGGTATAGCTAGTACATACAATGCCTAAAGCCACTATTACGCAAAGCGTTTCGGGCATACTTATAGGTATAGCTAGTACTGATACTGATCTGATACTGGCAGATACCCCAGGGTGGGGGGGGGGGTGGGGGTAGGGGATTATATACCCCTACAGAAAAAGAAGTATCAAAGTATCTGATAAAATTTTTAGCGATCCTGTAAAAAGAATCTGATGCTTCTGAGATATTGGTTCTCCTCTACTGTTGCCCATATATGGCTAAAGTAGGCAGCCATATACCTGTATATAGGCTACCTACTGCCAGGTATAAACTGACAGGTATATGCTGCTAGTAGCATATACCTACCAGTTTATAAATAGACTGTTACTTTCCATAGGTTGTCTTGGATGTGTGCAGAGATAGTAATACATTTCTTGTGTTTTTCCACAGCTTGATGATGAAGAGTTCCAGCTTCCTCCAGTTGGCGAGCTACCAACACTAGAGAGTATATTAAATGAGAATGACCCAGGGAGTGTGTCTGATGATGATCTTGTTCTTCCTCCTCTTCCTCATCCCAAGGCAAGTGGAATTTTTAGATATTAATTTTGAATTCTATGACTTGATTAATGTGTTACCAAAGATTTTTCATGTGTATGAATTTTTTTACTGGTGTTAAACAAAAGGTATTGTACTTAGCTTTTAAATTACATGAAGGTAACGTTTTTTTTTTTTGACAGGTCTCGAGGCTGTGGTCTCATTTGAAGTCACCAGTGGTTAGTTTTGTTCTGCTAACTTTATGGATGCCTTCCTTGGAGGTGGCAGACATGAATAAATTAATACAAATTATCAAACATGCCACTGCTCCCTGCACCTTTGTGATGGGGTCAGATTCCAGCTTGTTGTCCCCACTAAGCCTGTAGAACTCTGCAACTGAAGGGACCTAGTAATAGGGCACACTATCAGAGATAGTAGCTTCAAGGAACCACTGGAACACTAGTTTTATACATGTGTTATATATTTGCTCTTCTAAGTTATTTGAGATGTGGATGGTGAAATTCACTCAGAGTACTGTACAGTTGTGATAACACAATTGTATAAAGTACAATAATATGCACACCATAATTTTGAGTGCAGCAATGATTCACACATTTTATTATATAAATATATCATACTGCACATTATTGAATAATATTACAGCAAAAAAACGAAGAAAAAATCAAACAGACATTGAAATAATTAGGTAATTACATCTTTGTGGCAATCCCTGCCTGACAGCTGGGACGAAGCAGAACTTCCCTGACAGTTACTGAGTCAGCGCCTCTTTTTTGCCAGACTTCTCCGACCTATTGTGGCCAAAATATGCCACTTACAATTTTTTAATTATTTTTCCTGTGATTTGGGAACACAAATTAACAGGTTTATAAGATAATTTTTTTTTTTTATGCACCTGTGGGTGACAGGCCAAATAGCCCTTAGCAGCTTGGAGGTTAAATCAATTACTGAGTACTTTCTTACTTTTAAATTATTTATAATTTTTGGCTACTTTAATTTAGTTTTCATCATCACTTTTCATAAAAATTACCACTTATTATTATTTGTAATATAATAGTTATTTTTATATTCCAGGCTTCTTTTTCCACTGATGGGGGGGATACGTTGTCTGTACATTCTCGAGGCAGTTCAGATTCAAGGAGCCGTACGTCGTCAACAGAGAGGCACAGCACTGGAAGTCGGTCTCGTAAGGATGCCCAGAATAAAACCCATGGATCAATATTGCGTCACGTTATACTTAAGGGCGTGGCAGCCCAACTGGTGTCTGCACATGTGAGAATTATCGGGTTTATTATTTTATGCTATTAAAAGTGCAACTTGTAAATAGCATTCCAGTGTTTTATATTTTTTGTGGCATGAAAGATTCTGGTATACAAAGTTTTATGCCTCATATGACTGATTAGATACTGTCTTGAGCAAATGAAATAAACTTGTCTCTTTGGTAAACTCTTTCCATTTCTGGTCCCGTACCGGGATTCTCTGGATCTCCAGTTCATTCTACACCTGTCGATGTTGATCTGGTTCATCCATTGCCCCTCTTTCTGGATGAACTCTGTCCCAGGTCTTTCTCACTCTCGAGGTGGGCACTTGGGCCAATAAGTGTCCTGGACTTGCAGGGCACTTACTGGCATGTCCCTATACAGCCTGATGTGTTAGTGTGGTCTTGGTGCCTTCCTTTATACACAGTGCCATTCCCCAATTATGAGGCTTTTGCGGTAGATGCCTTTTGGCTGAACTGTAGAGGTAGGGGGGGGGGGGTTCCTCTACTTCTACTTCTTTCACCATGTTCAGCTGTTACTCCAGATCCTAGCCAGGTTGGAGTCCTACCATAGGGTGATCCTTCTGGCTCCCTGGTGGCCAGCTCAGCCTTGGTATCAGGCGCTTTTTAATGTCTTAACCCGGGTATTTTTTTGCAGATCCGCTTCTTTCAAATGGTTGGCCCAGTGATGTACATTGCTGGTTTGGCCTTCTCCAATCTGTGTGTTTAGTTTTTCTAACACATGTTTATCGTCATCTTTATGGCAAACAAGTTGCTTCATTGAAGGTGTCCCACTTATGTTCTTCTCGGTGACAGTATGAGGTGTTGTGGTGTTCTTTTCACCACTTTTTCTCTTCGTTGGTGTTCTTCAATTTCTGAGCACCTGGGGTCAGATTCACGAAACGGCTACGCAAGCACTTACAAACCTGTACATCTTTTCTCAGTCTTTAGCAGCTTTCCTTACAATTATTAAACAGTTAATGAGCTCCAAAGCACTAGGAGGCTGTTTATAACAATAACAACAGTTGATTGGGAAGTTTTCATGCTTGTAAACTGTTTAATAAATGTAATCAAAGCCATCAAAGATTGAGGAAAGTTGTTCACGTTCAAAAGTACTTGCGTAACTGCTTCGTGAATCTGGCCCCTGGTGCTCTCCTCTCTCTCTTTATGGCTTTTTCTCGATCAGCATCTCGTGCTGATACTGTCACCTCGTATCATGCGGTGCTGGCAGAATTTCTGCAGCTTGTGTTTGTGGTGGATATTTCCTTGGCTCTGTTTCACAAGGTGTCTCGCTCCCTGTTTCACCTCCAGCCTGCTCATGCACTGCCTGAGCCCCTACGTTGTCTTTTGGACTGGGTTTTGGCATCTCTCTCTTCCTCTTGGTTAACGGTGTCCCCTTCGGTCCATGATTGTTTCCTTAAGTCTCTGTTTTGTTTTCCCTTGCGCTCATGTAATTGGGACACACATGAGTTTTTAGTTTAGTTCACTTTTTATACTCCCCATACCCATCATATGAGTGGTAGTGGAAAAGGTTACAAAAGCACATAATGGGATAAGGGAATGAAATGTTGAGTGGAGCCATGGATAAAGCACAATACATATAGAGTGTAAGGATATTCTGAAAATTTATTAACAAGTACGGTATTTAAGTTATTTAAGGAATTTGAAATATTTAAGGGTGAAATAAAGGGTTCATGTGTTATGGGCAGACAACCTGTATTTTAGAAAGGGTGCCTTCACTTTGACAGTCTTCTTTTTCTATATGTCCACAGTAATGACTTTCATGTTTGAATTTGAAATAATATTTTAGTAGCATTATTATCTCTCTTTCAGGATCGAGTTGGTGCTGGGTTGCCTACAACAATGGCCGTGGGCAACATCATTTGTATTGGCACCAGTCATGGCCTTGTTCTTGTCTTCGAACCCACACAGGCTCTTAAATTTTGCTTAGGCTCCACACAGGTGAGCAATCTTTCATTACAGTACATGGTATTTAGTCATGTGTAAGTGGAAACTTATAAAATATCTGTACTATTTTTTTTTGTATTAGTATGAACAGTATAATAGGAGTCTTCCCTTGAACATTTTTAGACATTATTAGTACAAATAATTTGATCCGATATGAAGAATTTTGAAGGCCGTTTCATATTTCTTTTGTGTCCTTGCCTTTATTTTAATTTGAAGAATGTGTTAAATTCCTGTAGTGCAGTGCTCTGCAGTCAGTTCACAACTGTATGGTCTCAGGTTCAATTCCCATGCAGGATTGAGACATTTGGACATATTTCCTTACACCCAATGACTTTGTATACCTTGCAGCAAATAAATACCTTGGAGTTAGACAACTGTTGTGATTGCAGCCTGGTGAATATCTGTTATGTCATTAACTCAGATACAGGCATGTAATTCCCATTATTGGGAACAGTAAGCCTGTACTTAAGTTTATTGAGAGGTCCCCTTAGGCTAACTACTGACCTTCTCCAGGATGCATCTTATACCACTTGCCTAAAAAATCAGCATTGAATGTAATGAACAACAAATTTCTGGGTTAGGATTGTCTGCTAGCCAGGAAGATTCCATATTCTCATAATGCATCCAAAAATGGAGATATCCCAAACTCAAAAGAGGAAGAGTTCATCAGTGGCATAATCAGGGTTTTGCAGGAGGTACTTGAAGATAGCCTCCCAAGCCACTGAAGGCAGGATCCAAGAGGAGGAAAACCTCCAGAATGATGGTCCTGATGCACCCAAAGGCACATGGAACTGAACCCTGGCGGAGCTACTACCAAATTATACTCATACAGAAAAGGAGGATATGAAAATTCCTCCCCTCTTCAAAGGGAAACCCCTCATCAGAGGGAAGGGGTTTCTAGGAACCCCAAGTCGATTGTGAGAATCGACTTGAGAATGGTCCAGGACGAACCGAAACGTCGTCGTCCCTTCACCTTCTTGTGTGTGGTCTGGTCAAACGACTTCAGCTAAGTTATTGTGACTCATCAAGCTCATACTAGTTTTGAGATATTCGATCACTGGTTTATATAGTTGGGGGAGTTCATTAGGTGAGTTAAGGCTTCATTCTCTTTTATTTACTTATTTATATATATATATATATATATATATATAAAATATAATATAATATATATATAAATATATATATATATATATATAAATATATATATATATATATATATATATATATATAATATATATATATATATATATATATATATATATATATATATATATATATAATATAATATAATATATATATAAATATATATATATATATATATATATATATATATATATATATATATATATATATATATATATATATATATATATATATATATAATATATATATATATATATATATATATATATATATATATATATATATATATATATATATATATATATATATATATATATATATATATATATATATATATATATATATATATATATATATATATATATATATATATATATATATATATATATATATATATATATATATATAATATATATATAAAAACCTGCAGGGGTTTGTTTTGACTCCCTGACTTTATGAATGCCTTCCCTGGTGAGGTAGTGATCTGTGAGGGGCCGGGTTCTGGCTCTGGTCCCTGGTAGGCCTAAGAACTCCACCACTGATGTGACCTGGTAGATAGGAACCATCATAATGTATAGCTTCTGGGAGCCACAAGGGGCTTCCCCCAGAAATAGAGACGTATTTTACTGCTAGGCTAGCAGAGGCATGAGGTGAAAGGATATGTGCCCAACCATTTCTGTCTTGCCCAGGGATATAACCCAGTTCCCTTAGTTGTGAGCCGATGACTTAGACCACTGTGCTACAGGACCCTGTATACCATTGACTCACAGTACAGCCACATAATATAACTGCATGTCATTGTTCATATAATCTTTTAATTTAGCTAGGTGAACAGTGTGGCTCAGTATCAGCTTTGGCTTTGAACCAAGACTGCACTCGCCTTTTGGCTGGGTTTGCCAAAGGCCAGATCTGCCTATTTGACTTAACATCTAGCAAGCTTCTGCAGACTATCTCAGATGCGCATACACCATTTACAGCTGTTTTGCACCTGAAGGTAGGTTACTTGTTATATTTACAAAGTCATCCATTGAGTAAGTTGCTTCAGGAATTTTTCAAACATTAAATTCTCAGTTTCTCTTGTGTACAAGTGCTACTACAACCAAATACAGTATATTCTTATATGTATAGTTCTGACACTTTACATCCTTCTGTGAGTGTCTCATTAAGAAATGGCTACAGCTGAAGATCCTCCAGGAGGCTCTATCACCAGACAATCCTTTCACTCTTTGGCTTTGTCTCCCCATCCTCTTCCACAATTTCTTTCATATATTGTTGCACTCTTTCCTTCAAAGATATTGGTTGCCTGTCTATCATATGATCTTACGTCACTTGTACACTCTTTTCGGTAAACAATTCCAACTAACACATCATACCACCCAAGTGAATTGCACATCCGACTAACGCATCCTTACCACCAACTAACACTGGGACAGAAAACAGGAGATGCTTTTTTCACTCATGGGGTAATAAACTCATGGAGTCACCTACCCACCAAAGCTGTAAATGCTAAGACACTACTTCAGCTTGAAATTCGATTGGAAAAAGCTCTTAGGAATAACGGGTAAAGGAGGGGGGGGGGGACCTTCATGTGCTGCCAGCTTCTAGTCCCCGTTGAGGCCGCTAGAGTTGGATGCCCTCGGCTAAATTCAGGTAAAAATAATAAGAAGATTTAATCTTGTGCGCCCACTCATCTCTTCAACCAGTTCTAAATTGTTTACTTGAGACGTTGCCAGTGCTCATGTGTAATTTCTAGCATTATTATACTGTATATTACAAATAGTTGGGCTTGCAGTACCTAATACAGTACAGAACATTAGATACCTACAGGGATCAGAGGAATTAGTTTTCAGTTGTCTTGCTTCACACTCAAAATCATTAATTCTATTTTACATCTGAACTTATTCTAGAAATCCTTGAATTGTATTTTACTGTAATAGAGATTCTCTACAGGTACTTTATTACAAAATATATTGTACTTTTTTTAAATAATAATATTATTTTCTTCTAAGTTTAGTTTCAGTACTGTACAGAATTTTATTTAGGTTAGATAAGGCTATTTTAGATTTACTGTACCAGTATATATTTTAATGTTTTACATTATAAGTTCTGTGTTTAATTGTATTTTAGTTTATTTATTATTAAACATTAATATAATACAGTACTGTACCTGCAAACTTATTGTATAATAATTTTTACCTTAGCTGCTGTTCATATTCGTGTATAGGAACTATATGTATTGCCCCTGTCAGTAATCATCATAATACTGCATTTTGTTTATAAATAAATATTACACACGGTCTGATTACAAAGTGTATATGCACTAGCAGACTAGTAGGTATTTATATTTTTATAAGTCATTTATTTGGCAGTGTCACATTGTTCATTATTTATATGGATGTGTTGTATTGCTCCTAAGTTTGATTTTGACTTTTGGCAGTGGACAGACTACCCAGGCATGGCAGTAATTAGTGACAGTGGAGGATCAGTCTTTGAACTGTCCATTAAACGAACCATGGGACTTAACTCCAATGAGTCTCGCTGCATATTTTCTGGTAGTCGTGGAGAAGTGTGTACTATAGAGCCATTACTGATGTCACAGTTTCGTGCTACTCCATTTGTAGAGACGGTCATCTTGGCAATGGCTACTATATCAAAGGTTAGATACAATGATGTTTATTCTGTTGTAAATAAGACATTTTATTTGAAAATTTCTATATAAATTATGCTTATATCAACATTTCTTATAATAAGAACAAAACTACAGTACAGTAAGTTACTGCTCTAACAGATTTCATTCTAAAGGAATATTAGAAGCTGTGTAACAATGCCAATTCAATACGTGAATAGATGTAACAGAAATAGTATCCAATCAAAAAATTTTCCATGACAGATTTACAGTGCTGAAAAACAATACATATCTAAACTCCTTAAAGTAATGTCCCACATAGATTATGCAGTCAGAAAGGGTAACATACAGTTCAGTGTCATGAGGAATTTCCAAGCATCTCAACAGGGATTATATTTTCTTATATGAGTCACTGGTGAATTCTCAATCCAAGCCAGAAATAATTGTCAGATCTTTCCACAAAAATCAAAGACCTAAGAAGCTTTCATTTGTGATCACAGGTGATCTCCAAATGTAGGCTCTCGGTTACTACCTGGCATGGCAACGACGTGGTCAATTCCATTGATTGCCACAGGTAGAAACATTTTACATCCTGTGGTTCACTAAACCAAGCAAGTCCACATTCTCTCTGATTTACATAATTTCATGTTTGTCTCATGCATTGTGGGCTGAATTATGCTCTGGTATTAGTATTTGTACACTTTGTTTCCCAAGTGTGTGATGCCTATGTGTGTTCACAAATTTTTCACCCTGTTCAGAGTTCAGTGCTAGTTGTACAACTTATTCTACTTTATTATTGGGTCTGGTGTTTTTCCCAGAAAAGTAGGCATTTGTTGTTCACAAAGAAGTAATAGAACTGTTGGCTGTTCTGTTACTTCTTTGGTGCTGGCATCATCCAGTTTGTAACCTAACAAGTCAATCTTTAGGCAAATAGCATTTTGTTTATATGTATGGCACCCAAGCTGCCTTGATTTGTGGACTCATGGAAGGTGGCTCTGGTGATCTGGCCTAGGGTTATTGACATGAAGTTTTATGTTTCCCTAATTCTGGCCAGCAGGGTGTAACACTGGAGGCTGGCAGAATTTTTTTTTGGCTGAGGACCGGGTGAGGTATGAGACTTTCGATTGATGCCCCCCTTTAACCTCTGTTGGGTTTTGAGTTGCCAGACCTGATGGTGTTGGGTGTGGGGGTGGGGGGAGATTTTGATGTACACTCTTGAGCATAATGTTCTTGACACTAGAGACTATCCTTCTTAGATTCAGTTTACCCTTTTCACTGTAGAGAAGGATAATCCACACTTTCAGAAGTTTCCTTTTGATTTACCTTTCTACCCCTCTAGCTAGGCAAGATTTGAAACAGTCCTTATGACCTCAGGCTTTTAGAACTCAGATCAGACCAAGATGAACATTTGGTCTAGCCTTGCTTTTTATTGGAGTTATGCATTTCAAGCCTGCATGAAATATGTACACTCATATTGCACGTAAATATTTTTCCTGGCATAGCTCAATTGAAAGAGTTGTGCAACCCACTCCTTTGCTGCTATTCAGTCTAGTAATGTTGTCCAGAAATGGATTCAAACACTGGCATTAAACTCAGACCTGTGATTTGATGGTACAGTAATTGCATGGTTTGTGCTACAAGACAGACTTATTTGTAGGAAGTAATTATAAAGGCTAGTAGAATTTTTTCAGTTCTAGGTTAACTCCATTACATCCATATAAATGTATTATAATCATATTTCCATCATTTGTAGAAAAACCAGGTGATAATAACTAAAATCTATGATAACTGCATTTTTCCCTGGGATTAACATATGATAATCACACTTTAAGGGTTAAAATATACCTAATGCTTCCTTGAAATGTTAACATCCTCTTTACATTCATGACCTTACTGTTAATTTTGTATATTTTTACAGGTCATTGTGGTTTCCTTAAGGCCGCAGCTGAAAGTTTTGTTCTCGCATCCATTAAAAGCCTCGGTTTCAACCCTTCCACTCCTTGCCTGGCAGTTTGTTGTGATACAGATGCCAGATGGGACGAGAGTGATTGATCCTGTCCTGGCATTTGGACGGGAAAAAAATGTTTTTTTTTATCAGGTAAGTGTGTGCAATATTTTTGTATTTTGTATTGTGACGATAATCTCCTTCAAGAGATTGAGCCTGCTCTTCCCTCCAAAATTACGTCTTCACAATTATATAAAAAGACTATGGAAGAAATGTCCAACAACGCCAACAACACCAGCACCAGCAAGGCTTGCCAGGGTGAGCAGAAACGTATGCAACCAGCCACCTGTTCGAACTCCAACCACCAAACTACCCGTTGATCGCTACGGCTCCGCTGATTGGTCGCCGGTCTGGCTGCACCTGCACTCCCCCCAATACTACCTGATGTCTGGGGTCGCCCCAACATCAGTCCTCAGAATGTTCCGTGCTTTCGTAGCCAGCACTCCTCCCAGCTAGACGTTAGCGTGTACTGAGAGAGGTGGTGGCTTTAAGCCAATATTCCAGCACCTCCCACTTAACTTTTGTTTTGCACTTCTTATTATTTTGCCTTAACGTAACTTTCATTGTGTCATTTAAGTATTCTTATTATTTTGATTCATTGATTTTATTATACATATTTGTTTGTCCATATTTTCATGTTTTGATTTATTTAACGTAATTAAAATTTCATTGTTAAAGTTTTACTTGTGTTTTGTGTGTCTTCTCCTTACCTTACCACAGACGAAGTTCCAGTTTTTCTATTTTTTTTTATAACTATGTGACGAGGCCATACCCCTAGCCTTAAACAGCCGAACACCAACGCGTTACCGTCACAAGTTATATGGGGGCCTGTCCTAGGAGCCTCACTCAGGTACTGGTGCCAAGTGGTAATTTATGGTAAGCGTATTTAACTTTGTTAACGTAGCTTTACTATTTTTCATTCAATTTCATTTTTTATAAGGTGCGGTGTATTGTGCATTACGAGAGTAACATATAGTGAAGGTGAGACAACTTTGGATTACGTGGTGACTGTAGGCCGCAGTCATACTCTTAATTGGTCATCTCTCCCTCCTTGTTATTACTCGTATTTACCATCTATGTCCCTTGAATATTTCTCATTCTGACAGATCATCATATTGGTACCCTGGTACTGTGGTCTGCCCCGGGTCAAGAGTACCCAATCTTCTGCAATCTGACTGTAGGAGGACAAAGAGGGCCATAGTTCCTCTAGCTCGAACTTAGTTGCTGAATTGGGACCTCAGCAGCAGTTCTCGTCACCAGTTGACACCTCGCACCCCTACACGTCAGTCAGAGATGATGATACATACAACGGTAGGGAATTAGCTTATTTTTTCAGAGCACAAAAGTTCGCTAATTCTGTAAGTATCATATTAAATTCAGTGGGAAAAACTTGCTTTATGTCCTATAGAGACTTGGCAAGGTATGCCTACATCCTTGGACTACCAATTTTACTTTTGAAGCATTTAACTGTTTCATTTGTTTTCGAAACTTTGTTTCATTTGTTAGTAGGATTTTCTTGCCCTTATTCTCTTACATGAGTACCGGGTACAAGATTTCCTGCGCCCTTGATTTAATTTAATCATTTAATATCTTTCACTTAACGTTAATTGTTAAAGATCACACAGGATAGGTGCCAGTTGCCACGTTGTCCTGTTTCTGACATTTCATTATTGAACATTCGTGTACCTTTATTTGCTAATTTCACCATGTTTCGTCTCCAAACTTTCCGTGCAAATCCAGCAGGTGAAATAGGGACTTTAAGTCGTGCCAAGAGGACTGAACTACAAACTCTTGCACATGAGTATCAACTAGAAGTTCCCTATCAAGCCAACAAAAATGACCTACACAACCTGTTGCTGGATTACTATTTAGAGCAAGGTAAGATAGACTCTGAAACTCATGAAACTTACTATATTGCAGATAAAACTGACTTGGCAACGATGAAACTTAAACTAGAGCTGGCTAAGATTGAACGTGAGCAGCAAAAGGAAGCCCGCGAACAGCAAAGGGAAGCCCTCGAACAACAAGAACGAGCAGCTGCCATACGGAGGGAAGAACAAGAACGAGGACTCGCCCTCCAAGAACGTGAGGTTGCACTACTCCAGGAGCGGGAACGAGTACAGCTTGAAGCACTCCAGGAGCGGGAACGCGTACAGCTTGAAACCAAACAACGCGAGTTGGAAATACAACGCGAACATGACAAGCAACAAGCAACTCTGGCTCTAGAGTGTCGTCAACGTGAAATCGCCTTGGAAACTTCACACTTCACTCAACGCCAACAAGCTACTGCCAATCTTCCCGTCAGTTTTAATATATCACATGCAAGTAAGTTAATGCCATCCTTTGTAGAAGCAGAAGTTGATGTGTTCTTTACCACCTTTGAAACCCTTGCTAATCAACTCAGTTGGCCTGTCGACCAATGGGCAACACTTCTCAGAGTCCATCTTACAGGTAGAGCTGCAGTCACACTCAGTACTTTGGCGTCTGAGAATGACTACTACACTCTGAAACAAGCAGTGTTAGACGCCTACCTACTTTCCACCGAAAGTTATAGAAGGAAATTCCGTGACCACCTGAAGGCAAGTACCACTACCTTCCTCGAGTTTGCTAACACGAAACGGAGGTATTTCATGAAATGGCTGGAAGCAGCACATGTCTCTACTTTTACAGAACTCGTGAACCTGATGCTTGTTGAAGAATTCTTGAGACGTGTGCCGCCTCCTGTCCGCCTCTACTTAGCAGATAAAGAAGAAACCGACTACCTGAAGTGTGCTAAGTCGGCTGACACTTACAGCCTCATCCACCGGCTGACACCTGAACCATCCTCCAGTAAGAAGTCGTGGTACAGTTACGAGAAGGTGAGCCCCGATCAAGCTGGTTCACAACTGTACTGCAAATATTGTAGACTCTATGGACATACCATAGACAAGTGTGGTAAGTCTCAATACAAGGGAACCACTGACCAACAACGACCCAAACCAACTCCTCCTAAGTCCGGTAAGCCTGTGATGAATGTTGGTGTTGATGTTAATGATCTTTCTCTTTTCAGTAACCACCTGTATACTGGAACTGTCTCTGCCAACGGTTCAAATCCGGAGGGACGTTTCAAATTGAAGATCTTGAGGGACACAGCGGCTCTACAATCGATCATCTTGAAGTCGGCTGTGCCCAACATAGTCTACACCGGGGAAACAGTCTTCATCACTGACCTCACTGCTACCACTCCATACCCTCTCGCCAGAGTCCACCTGAATTGTCCCTACGTGAACGGGGAAGTCCAAGTCGCCGTCAGGGAAAAGCCTTTTCCCATGCCTGGAGTGCAACTTCTCCTAGGCAACGACTTGGCAGAAGACCTGCAACCGACCAACCTGATCGTCATGGACAAACCCCAGGTGTGTAACTCTGTGCCCATAAATCCTATTCTCGAGTATGTTCCAGCAGAGGTTCAAGAGAGTGATGAAGTTTCTCCTCCGGTTCTCGTGACCACCCGTGCACAAGCCGCACGTCCACAGCCAGCTGACTCTACTGCTACCGCTGTCCCTCAAGACCCTCAGAAACTACCCCCGCATCTGACCAAGTTGGAGTTCCGTAAGTTGCAGAGGGAAGATCTTACTTTAACACCATTGTTTTTCCAGGCTGAGACTCAACCCGACAGTATTCCTGGGTTCTTCCTAGAGAACGACTTGCTCTACCGCAGATATAGACCCAGTAAACTGAAGGAGGAGGACGATTGGGCCAACACCGAACAACTTGTGATTCCCACCAGCCTGCGGCCCACTATTCTACACCTGGCCCATGGAGCATTCTCCCACTACGGCTTCAACAAGACGTACCATGGGATTCGTCAAGACTACTACTGGCCAGGTATGGTAAACAACGTCAAACAGTACGTAAAACAGTGTCATACATGTCAGATGGCAGGCAAACCGAACGTCTCCATTCCCAGAGCACCACTGATTCCCATACAGGTGCCTGCGGAACCTTTCCACAGACTCATAATAGACTGTGTTGGTCCTTTACCTCGGACCAGTTCAGGTAACGCCTACATCCTAACCATCCTGTGTCCTACCACCAGATTTCCCATAGCAGTTCCAGTGAAGAACATCACGGCTGCTACGGTTATCAAACATCTATTGAAGATCTTCACTCAATACGGATTTCCCAGGGAGATTCAAAGTGACTGTGGCACCAACTTCACCAGTGATCTCTTCAAAAGGACACTGGAGGAGTTCAACATCAAACAGGTATTGTCCAGCCCCTATCATCCTGCTTCACAGGGTTCTCTTGAACGTAGTCATCAGACCATCAAAGCACTCTTGAAAAAGTTTTGTAGTGAAACCTCGAAGGATTGGGATAAGCAGATTGACCTAATAATGTGTATTTTCAGAAGTCTCCCCAATGAGTCCCTAGGAGTATCTCCTTATGAGATGCTCTACGGCCGTAAGTGCCGTACTCCCCTTAAGGCTTTCAAAGACTCTCTCAGAGATGCCACCTTCAGTGAGCATCAGAATGTGCCCCAGTTTCTTCAAAACCTTCAGCACATTCTAGAGAGAGTCCACCGCTTTGCCCATGATAATCTATTGAAAGCCCAGGTGAGAATGAAGACTCATTACGACCAGACCAGCAAAGTAAGAAAATTCAAGCCGGGAGACTTCGTCCTTGCTTATTTCCCTATCCCAGGTTCACCTTTACAAAACAGATTTTCAGGACCCTACTGCGTCAAAGAGTGCAGGAATAATAATAATTATGTGATAGAGACTCCTGATAGGCGGCGGAAGACCCAGCTGTGCCACGTCAACCTCCTGAAGCAATATAATGGTACTCCTCCCACTGTCTTGACTAATTATTCCACATTCACAGAACCCTACATCCACAGTGAGACCTTCCCAGCTTCTCCTCCCGAAAGCACTGACAAGGAGTCAGCGCTTTCTAATTCCGAAATCCTTAATGATCTTCCCAAATACTTTCAGGATAATCATAGTGCACCTCTCGTCAAGATCTTCAGAGAACATCAAGAGTTGTTCAGAGATGATCCCCAAGAGTGTAATGTTACCCAGCACGACATCCAACTGCTCCCCGACACCCGGCCGATTCGTCAACCCTTCTACCGAATCAGCCCGAGCAAGAAGGAAGTCATGCGTGCTGAGGTGCAATACCTCTTGGATCATGGACTGGCTACACCTTGTGAGTCCCCCTGGGCCTCACCTTGTATCTTGGTGCCCAAACCCCAAGGTAAGGTGCGGTTGTGCACTGACTATCGAAAACTGAACTCTGTCACTGTCAAGGATGCTTACCCCTTGCCAAGGATAGATGACATCCTTGATGCCATTGGTAGTGCCCAGTACTTGTCCCAAGTGGACTTGCTTAAGGGGTACTATCAAGTGTGTCTAACGGAGCGCGCTAAAGAGATATCTGCCTTCATCACTCCTTTTGGACTTTTCAGATATGAACGCCTTCCTTTCGGACTATGTAATGCCCCGGCCACCTTTCAAAGAGCTGTCAACCGTGTCATCCAGGGCTTGGATAACACATACGCCTACCTGGACGATATCGTCGTAGCCTCCAACTCCTGGAGTGAACATCTGCTCCAGCTGCGACGTCTGTTCTCCAAGCTCCTGACAGCCGGCCTCACCATCAACCTGGGCAAGTCCACTTTCGCGAAAGGTAAAGTGCGTTATCTGGGTCATGTTATTGGGAGTGGCAGCATAGCTCCGTTAGACTCACACACTCAAGCCATCCTACAGTATCCACAGCCTACCACCAGGAAGCAGCTCCTGCGCTTCCTTGGTCTTGCCTCTTACTACCGTAGGTTTGTGAGGAATTTCAGTACAGTCGCCACACCTCTAATTCTATTAACCAGTCCCAAGCAACGGTATAATTGGACCATACGGCAAACCGTTGCTTTTGAACAACTCAAATTCCTCCTCTGTTCTAACCCCATTCTCGCCTCTCCAGATATCACCAAGCCTTTCGTCCTTCATGTCGACGCCAGTGGTACCGGCGTTGGTGGTGTCCTGATGCAACTACGAGGCGAGGAGGTTCTACCTGTCAGCTACTACAGCTACAAACTGAAACCACACCAGAGGAACTACAGCACTATTGAAAAGGAGCTACTATCCATCGTCCTGAACCTCCAACACTTCGCTCCGTACCTACAAGGCGCCAGGTCTACCACCATCTTCTCAGACCACAACCCTCTCCGCTTCCTACATCAAGCCCAATTCACCAACCAGCGTCTTCTACGATGGGCTCTGTATTTACAAGACTTCAACCTGGAGATCCGCTATATCAAGGGTTCTGACAACACCATAGCCGATGCCCTCTCCAGAGTTTATGAAGTAGAAGCGACTCCATCCATTACTCCACCACATAACGACGTACTTCTTCCAGAACCGCAAGCTTCGGGGGAGAGTTGTGACGATAATCTCCTTCAAGAGATTGAGCCTGCTCTTCCCTCCAAAATTACGTCTTCACAATTATATAAAAAGACTATGGAAGAAATGTCCAACAACGCCAACAACACCAGCACCAGCAAGGCTTGCCAGGGTGAGCAGAAACGTATGCAACCAGCCACCTGTTCGAACTCCAACCACCAAACTACCCGTTGATCGCTACGGCTCCGCTGATTGGTCGCCGGTCTGGCTGCACCTGCACTCCCCCCAATACTACCTGATGTCTGGGGTCGCCCCAACATCAGTCCTCAGAATGTTCCGTGCTTTCGTAGCCAGCACTCCTCCCAGCTAGACGTTAGCGTGTACTGAGAGAGGTGGTGGCTTTAAGCCAATATTCCAGCACCTCCCACTTAACTTTTGTTTTGCACTTCTTATTATTTTGCCTTAACGTAACTTTCATTGTGTCATTTAAGTATTCTTATTATTTTGATTCATTGATTTTATTATACATATTTGTTTGTCCATATTTTCATGTTTTGATTTATTTAACGTAATTAAAATTTCATTGTTAAAGTTTTACTTGTGTTTTGTGTGTCTTCTCCTTACCTTACCACAGACGAAGTTCCAGTTTTTCTATTTTTTTTTATAACTATGTGACGAGGCCATACCCCTAGCCTTAAACAGCCGAACACCAACGCGTTACCGTCACAGTATATTGTACTGGTATATCTTATTGCCTAGTAATTATTCTCCCATAATTTGCTGTTATGATTATGGAATGGACACTGATACAAATTTCTTAGAACAAACAGATGAGTAATTGGTCATTGGATTTTGGTTGTTTGATTTTTGCTACTTCAACAATTGAGTTCTTAGAGAGTGCACAATAGATTTATTTAAAATTTGACTTGGAGATGCTTTGACATAGTCTTATTGATCATCTTCTCAATACCGTTTCTCACTCTCATAAGATGCAGACGTAAGAGTAAGGATGTGACAGAAGAACAAATAGAAAAGAAATAGTTATTTAATAAAATACATGTTTCAAAAGATCCTTACTGCATTTGTGCACATTGTCACAATTCCCTGAATGGCTTAGTATTACAGTAATGTACTTATATACTATATTCCATCATTTTGTTATGTTTAATGGCAAGACTATCATGGAAGGTACATATTACCTTTATTGGGCTGTGAAGATAAATCCATTTCTCTCTGCTGAGAATATGCCATGTCATAAATTAAGTTTTGTATCTAAAATTTAATAATATATGTAAACATTTAATTGACATAAATATATATTTAATTGACATACATATGTAATTTTCAGCTTACCCATGGAAGTCAGGAGGAGCTTCAGTTTATCCCTCTTCAGAAGATGGGTTTGTCATTTGTAATACAGGGAATGGCATGGCTTAACACTCGCACTCTAGCTGTCATGGACACGCGAGAGCATTTACATGTCATTGATGTGAAGACACAGGAAGAACAAGAAATGGTGGATCTGGCCCATTTGGGGCTGGTATATGCATCTCCCCATTTCAAGGCTATTGCTACAGGGGGTAATGTTAGCAAAGCTATGGTAAGTTTCTAAAATACTAGTCTAGTATATCTGAACATTTATTGTGTTAGTTTATCTGTATGAATTAATTCAGTAAACTAATAATTACTAGGGAAAACTTTTTAAACAAATAGAAAAGTAAAACTAAATAGTGATAAGGCCCAAATGATGTGGAGTGTCCAGGGTGCTGTCATGGGATCGTTTCATTCATCATAAATGATTTGGGTACCACTGGGAAAAGCAAAATTCAGACATTAGACAGAAAGGTTTCAGAAGGATTTTAATAAACTTTGAATGTGGCTAAAAAATTGGCAGATACAGTTTAGTACAGACACATGTAAGGTTCTAAGTCTAGGCAAATGAAATTATGGGTACCCGATAGCAATTAACCCTTAATGTGCCGCTAAGGATTATTCACACACACACATCTGCCTATGCGGAAAAAAAAGTCCCAAATGGAAGGAAAAGTTTAAATTAATATAAATATATGTCCTTTTATTGGTTAGATGAGCTTTACAAGGTTGGCAGATTGTAGCCACGGCCAGATCTGTCGGCACTAGACCTCGTATGTTGGTGATGCAGCAGCTTGTGGCTGAGAACTCCAATGTTGACCTTGGATGTTCATATGATCGTTTTTACATACTTTAATCCATTCACTGTAGTATTTGTGTTGAATATCTGGATTTATGTACAAACTGTTTGAGTTAGTTTATAGTGGAAAGTACCAGTATTGTGCTATTGTATACTGTATTTTGACTTCAGCAAAGCTTTTGATACCATGCCACATAAAAGACTGATTAGAAAGATAGAGGCTCACAGTATTTGGGGCACTATCTTAAGCTGGATTAGGGCATGGTTATATCAAAAGAAACAATGAGTTAGTATAAATGGGGTTAAGTCAAAGTGCACAAAGTGCGTGTTGAGGTCCCACAACAGAAGTAAGTGGAACCTCTGTTACGTAAACAACTTAGATTCAGGATTGAGCAGCAATATTTGCAAATTTGCAAAGGATATGAAAATTGGACAGGAAAACAATTCAGAATGAAAAAAACACTTCAAGATGATTAAGAAATTGATCATCTTTTGAAATGATCAAAAGATTTGTATTGGCAGGGGTTGTGATTCTGCCCATCCTCTTCCCCCGTAGCGTAGATTAGACTCAGTACAGTATATTTAAATGAGTTTGGATGGATATTAATAGGAGCTGCCACATTAGGATTTCTGCGGTTTCCTTAATTCTTATGTTCCTGATGCTAGTAAAAGAAATAGTGAGTTGTGTACATGAAACATCTCATATGTCACTGACACCAGGAAGAAGTGCTAAGTTTGTTACAGACAATATTTGGCTTGCAACTCAATTTAAAATTGTATGATGGCTGAAGATTTGGCTTTCTTATGGCCATCACCATCTTAATTACCGTATAGACGTAGAGTCCGAGTTTTCTAATTTTTGTGCAACATTTATTTCAAGGCATTATCAGGAGAAAGAGCGTGCTACCACTCCATGGTCAGCTTTGGAACACAGGTGCTCCTGTTGGGCACAAAGTCATTCCAGGTGAGACTGGGCTGCATTGATTTCTTTGAACAATGTTTAATTCTTAGGTGGTTGTATTATTATTATTTATTATTATTATTATTATTATTATTATTTTTATTCGTATCAGATGTGAAAGTAGTTTGCATCTCATTTATTCCCTGCAGTTTTCCTTTTGTTATTACCTTCTCATATTTTCCCTGTCATCTTCATTTTCTTTGTTTCCTCATTTATCCACTGTAGTCTTTCTTTTATTATTTTCCTCATTCCCTGTAATCCTCCTTGTACTATTGTTTTCTCATTCCCTTTAATCTTACGTTTACATTTATTCTGCCCTGCTGATGCTACCATAATTCTTGCTAACATCACTTGTTTTCTTTGTGTCCATGATTTTTGGTGGGTTTTCCTTGCTCCCCTCGCCTTGTGGAGAACCATCTTCACATATATATTTTATACACAAATTTTATCTCCTCCACTTTAATCTAACTTTTGTCCATATTAATTTCTTAAGTCTTTTCACACACCTTAGTAAAATTTTTAATTAGTACCTGTATACATAACACTTCTTCTCACTCTGCTAAAAGACCTGTGTCATCCACAAACAGTACATAAAATTTTGTATTCTATACTTTAGTGACTCAAATTAGAACTATACACTGGGTTTGCAATGCCTGTAACATTCTTGTTTTACTCAGCCCATGTTATTTATTTTATTTATTTATTTATATACAAGAAGGTACATTGGGTTTGAGAGAATACATAGCATAGTATTTACAATCTTGTAAAGCCACTAGTACGCGCAGCGTTTCGGGCATGTCTGTAATAATGTTCAATTTCTAAAATAGAAATTGTCCTTATATTTCAACAAGATTGGTCACTAATATAGAATCCTTAACTGAGTTCTTGCTCTTTTTTATACTGTATTACATAGTAAGATTATAAAGAAATTACTGTATTTAATTACTGTATTGTATTGTATTGTATTGAGAGTGAAGTGGTACAAGTTTCTTAGGATGCTTCTGAGTGTGGCAGATATTATGAATGTTTTAAGTGGTCACCTGAATGCACCTCTCTGCAAAGCTTTTCAATACCTTTCAGGCAAGTACCAGGTAAAATAGGTAATGATAATGGCATATTAACCAATTGTCAATGTCTACAGGTCGTGACGGTGCGATCCTGGGTAGATCGTCTGGATTACTTGGTGAAAGGTGGTCACAAACGTGAGGCCCTCCAGCTTGCCCTTGATATCTATCAGGATAAAGCTCAAGCAATTGTAGGACTCAAGCATAAGAAGGAAAAGAGACAGCAGGTATATTTCTGTTTAAGGGTACAGTAATTACACTCAAATACTGAGTTTGTTATGCAGGATGAAATATAAATCTTTAGTTAAGATATTTTCCTTGCGCTTAGGATATTTATTTTTTATTATGTATGTGTGCATATACAGGTCAATGACTGTAAATAAGGCTCCAGTTACTGATCCCAAATTTTGACTAGCTGCTGCATTCCAGTCCTCGTCGAGGCCAGTCATGTTAGTGGCACTCACGTAATTCAAGTAAATTTAGCTGTCAGAACCATCAGGCCGGTATATCAGAGAGCCTTGACCCTTAGACAGTGGTTAATTCATATGTTGATTCACGGGGTAATGCGATTATTCTTATGGCGATTTAAACTATTATTGTTTGAATTTTACATGTATGATGGAAATAAGGATATAATAGCTCTGTGGATGTAAAGAAGTTTACCTTGACCTGTGAAAAAAATTTTGCTTTGTAGTTCCTGATGGATATAGCATTCCAGAATTCCATGAGTCTGGGCCTGGTGCAGAGTGCATGGGCATACTGTCTATGGCTGCTTAAAAGTGTAGTGGGGTTAGGGATACATCTAACATATGGTTCGATGATGGTGTCACATTCATAAAGAACTTGTTTGAATCATTGATCTTCAATGTGTTCAGGAGTTCACTGAAAACAGAATCGTACTGTAGCCTTAGTATTTCACTTATTTTGAACTTCAATTAGGTTGCAATCTGAGTAACATGTACATTATTTGTAATCATTATGTCCCAAATTAGTTCATTGTAAAAAAAAAATGCTATCAAGTATCACCACTAAATCTCTTTCCTTGATCATGTTCTTCAGAATTTTGTCTCAATTTCAATGCTGGATAAGAAGAGTTCTCATTTATCAAATACTCCATTATATTGCATATATCCAAATTCAATTCAATCAGCTGGGAATAATGCATGCCTGTCTGTTTTCTTGCAGTCCCTTTAAAGTGTGTGACAAGTGTGTAAAGTGTGTGTCATTTATTCTTCCCAATAGCGTAGCATCATTTGTCCAGTACATTATTTATAATTTGCAGCTAGTGCAGGAGAAGATTTGTGAGTTACTGAACCAGTACCTTGACTCGGCCATGAATGAACTCCCTGAGCGCAGCAACCTGACGGCGCTCAACCAGTACTATTCCCAGCTGGTCACTCTTTGTGTTCAAGTGTCAGTGGGGGCCAATTTAAAGGATGTCCTCTTTGGACGAGTCTGGGAAACCTTCAGTGAGGATGCCATATCTAAAGGTTAGTTATTTTGCTTTTTTATTTCTATGATTTTTTTTATAAAGAAATTCTATATTTTTCATCTTTTGGCTAATGCCTTCCCAACCGGTGAAAGTGGTAAATGGGAAATTGGTGAGGATAGTGGTGGTGATGTTAACGTGTTATTTATTCTCGACAGGTATTTACTTGGAAGCCCTTGAGCCGTACATTTTGAGTGACCAGCTAGCGGACATATCACCCAGTATAACGCAATGTCTCCTCGCTCACCAAGAGGTGTGTGGGAAACTTCAGGCAGCCGAGGCCTGCATTGTGCACCTCAGTGTGACATCCCTTGATCTTCACCAGGCCATGACTCTGTGCTGGACCCATGGGTTATATGATGCCATATTTTATATATATACCCATGGCATGAGAGATTTTGTTACTCCCCTTGAGGAGCTTGTGACAGTTTTATGTAATGCAATGGATAGTGGAAATGCATTGACAGACAGCCAAGTGATGTTGGGTAACAAAATATTAGTATACGTGTCTTGTTGCTTAGCTGGACGGGCTTACCCACATGGTGATATTGATCCTCAGGAATTACAACAAGTCAAACACGAGATTTTTAAGTGTATTACCTCGCTGCATTCAAAAAATGCTAAACCTACAGAAAATTCTTACCCGTTCTTGAGAACTTTATTGAGATTTGATACTAGAGAATTTCTTAATGTGCTGGCTTTAGCATTTGAGGAAGCAGAATTCACCTCTGAACTTGGAATGCAACAGAGACAGCGGGTTGTGGACATTTTACTTCAGGTATGTTATTTTGTATCATACGTCATTAAATGCAAGTACTGAAGAGTTACAGTATTGCTTAGTATCCATTTGTTAAACATAACTGACTTGCACTCTTTAATTAGTTCAACAGTATACTTGTTCACTTTGAACATGTTTATTCATCTTTCACTCTACAGTATGCTTACTTTTAAGGATTCCCTTCCTTGCTACTTGAAATCCATAGACAGGGAGACCTATGAAGAAGGAACAAAGGACGTTTGGACCTGTACATTCTTAAAACTCATCCTGAAGACATTTATGTATCAACACGTTAAACAAGCTATGAGGATGAGGTAATGGGATGTTCCCTCCATGCTAGATTTGATGTTCACCATGAAAGAAGAAGAGATATTTGACATTCTATACCGTTCCCCTTGGGCAAAAGCGACCATGTCCTTCTGGGAATAAAGTACGCAATGCGTTGTAATCCAGAGGAGCATTGTTAGTCAGTGGTGATAAACTTCCAATAACAGTTAGGATTAAATTAGCATTAAGGCACTCGCCAAATATTTACATCTAACCTGTGGGAGGGGGAGGTTCTGGCTCATGGTCTTTGGTAGGCCAGTAAACTCAGCGACTGATGGGACCTAGTAGTGTGGCACACTATCAGAAATAGTAACTTCAGGGAACCACCGAGGCTCGCCCAGAAATTGGTGTTTCATTACATTCATCGCTAGTATTTTCTTGTGCATTGGGGGAATGTCTGTTATATTAGGGGGCACAGCCAAGGGATTAATTATATTTGGTAATAATAACAAATATTATTGAGAGAAAATTTCCAGCATCAAAATGCTTTCCATAACATGTTAATTTGATCTGAACCATATTTACATGGTTTTGGAAAAAGGGTAGTAACACAAGTTAAATTATTTGCTTTTGTTTTATGTCTGGCAGTGATACCATTTTATTCTGCAAGAGGGTGGATGCGGCTACTGTGAATGGAATGTTACGTATATGAGGAACAGATTTTAAAGGGGCAAATGCTGCTTTAACATCCGAGTCCCAAAAAATACAGAATTTTCCATACAGTTGAATTAAATATTATGATAGATAAATAAAGATACTGTATTTTAATTTGGAATGGAATAATTTTTATAAGGGTAAGTAATGCTTACTGTACCTTGATTCTTAGAGATATATGCCACTGATCAGCAGTATTATAGAATCATAATTAATCCACACACGATATTAATAGTATTTGTTCCTTTACTGTTACTTTTCATATTCAAAATATAGTTTTATCATTGAGATGTTTACATTCTCTGATGTAAATTTGTTCAGGTGATGGTGGAGGGACAAGGCTTTGGACCTGCCCAGCTGGGATCACTGTTTACGTTCATAGCTCGGCAGATGTCACGACAACAGGGAGCCATTGCAATCAATAGACAACTTTTTGACCAGGTAATAAAGAATATACATTAATATTTTTTGATACTAATTCTATGTATTATTAAGTAAATATATATATGGCAGAGTCCAATTACAGTCGGGGCATAGTGACATCTTAGTCCCAAAACAGGCAAAAGGTGTGCAGCACAGTTGGTTCACAACATAATGGTCTTTACTTCCATGAAGGAGGGAGAAGTTTGGAAACATTACCTATTACCTGATGCACCTGTTCACCTAGCAATAAATAAGTACCAGGGAGTTAGGCAACTGTTATGAGTTGCATCTTGGGAAATGTCAGTAGTCAGGTTTATCATGTCAGACCATGATAAGCCCACAAGGCTTCCTGTCCCCAATGCTTGGAACCCATAGTTTGTTAATGAATTAGTAAATAAATAATATTGTAATCCTTCATTCAGCTAGAGATTGTGGAAAAGAATCTCTAAAGTCATGGATGTTGGGTCTTTATACCTTGCCTATGAATATGGAAGCTGTGCTCTTAGAAAGAGGTCAACTACTGTATTACAGTATTTTTTGCCATCACTGTACTGTAATTTATGAGAAAATACAATGTGAGCATAAAGGGAGCTTTTAATGTTTGGCATTTTATCATTACATTGCCATCAAACAGTGAAATACTGAGTAGTTTTTGAACTCGAGAAGACACGGGATGATTGTTTGAGTTTTATATTAAATATATTAAAGTATGCAGTATACCTGTATTAGTAGTGCAGTAGTCTTATATATAATGGAAGTCTCACTGAACATCATATTTTTATTAGAGACTGGAAATTACAGTACTGGAATATCATTCATTGTAATTAGCAGATCTTGTCTTGGAAGGCTAAGTTACACTGAGGTATAGATAACTGTTAATCTTTTTTAGTTACATTAATTATAAATATAATTTAAATTTAGAAGACAATTTGTCATTTTTATGTGCTTCCTTGATACTTTTGTTTAGACCTGTGCTCTATATCATAGAAAACTGACTTAATATCTTGATGGTTAGGTACTATGCCATCTAACAGCTGCTGATGCTGAGAGTCACCACGAGGAGAGGCAGACAGCTCTGCTGGAGCTGTTGCAGGAGGGTGGCCTTGTGCACTACGAAACTAATCATCTATTAGACAAAGCACGTCAAGCACAATTGTAAGGATAAATAATTTGCTATTGCCTCTTTTGAAGCTCTTTGTATTTGTGCAAATATATCATAATTTTCCTGTTGTGTCTAGGCACTTTCATCTTAGCATATATATACATGCATGCATGCATGCATACATACATACATACATACATACATACATACATACATACATACATACATACATACATACATACACACACAAGTCCCTTTAAAAGGTCCTGCAGACCTTGGGCTTTTTGGGGCTCAGTTCTGAGATGGATCAGGTATACTTTGAAGGTGTTCGCCAAGCACCTTCAAACAATACCTGATCAACCAGGCTGTGACTCGTACATTAGGCTGTGAGCAGCCACATCGAACAGCCTGGTTGATCAAAGCAGCTACCAGGAGGCCTGGTCAGAGACCGGGCCACTGGGATACTAAACCTCAAAATCTTCAGCAGGTAGATAGGTAGTGGGATACCTTCCTCTCAATGTGTTTAAGGACGTGTTAGCTCTGGGCTAGGGTTTCATATCCAGAACTCCCCATGTCCATTCCATCAAGCACACAGTACAGTGTACAAGTTTGTGGCTATATGGGATGTACTGAGGAGGATTCAGATTCCTCTGGGCTCCATGTTCTGGCTTCATTTGGACTATTTCCCAGTAGTTCATTGTCTAAACCTAAAGGGTCTCTTCTGTCTATTTCCCTGTTGAACTGAATGTTGAATGTCGCTCATCTCCTGGATTCTTGTTGTTTGCCTCTACATCGTTTATGTTTGGGCAGTGTCCAATGTTTTTAGCAGATGGGCTGTCTCGGCTTCATCCTTTCTCCACAGAATGGACCTTTGCTGATGTGTCCTTCCAGTGGCTTTGTGAGATGTTCGGGCACCCCTATACGAACCTCTTTGTGCCAACGTGGAATGGGCGTCTTTCCTCCTATGTGGCTTCATTCCCTGATTCCGAGGCAGTCGCAGTGGATGCCTTTCAGCCGGACTGCTCGGGTGAGGTTCCTTTACCTCCTTCCCTGGTTCAGCTTTTGCTCTGGGTCCTTGCCAGAGTGGCTTCTTACAAGGGCAAGGTGGTCCTTCTGGTTCCCTGGTTGCTGGCTCAACCTTGGTGTTGGCTCTTCTTGCCCAGTGTCTGAACCCAGGCATTTTTCCACACCTCTGTCTCTTAAGAAATCTGTCCAGTGACATACTTTCTGGTTCGAACTTCTCCTTGGCTCTTTGTATCAGAACTTTCTAATGCATCTCTATCACTTTTTCTTTGGCAAGCAGGTGGCCGGGTTAATGGTGACCCACCTGCATTGGCTAATGGTGACCCACCTCCATTGGCCCTTGAGGTGGCAGTATGAAGTCGTCTGGGATTTTCTTTTTGCTCTTTCTGTCCCTCTTTTGTCCTTCTGTCTCTGTTTAGGTTGTGCTTTTCTTTCGGGCTTTATTATTTCCTGACTGGCATCTCATGCCTCTTATCGTTCAGCATTGATGGACCCATTGATGACCAAAACACACATCAGAAAATTAAGAAATGTCACCATTTCAGTCCATCCTGGACCATTATTAAGTTGTGTGATAGAAAGAGAGGAAGAGACAAATAAATAAATAAATAAGGAATGAGAGTGAGATAAAAGATGTGAAGCAAGTAAAAGAAAATGGTAAGAATGAGAAGAGGGTAAGAATAAAAGGAAGGTAGAAATAAGAGGAAAGGTAAGCATAAGAAAGGCGCCATTCTGCAAGTTGTCTCGGGCTTTGGTCTCTGGCTTTGTTTCCTCTCAGGCCTACTCATCCCGAGCCATCCTAGTCTCTCAACTGCATCCTCACATTTCTGTCCTGTTTCCGGTTTGAGACTTCCGCCTTGGTCTGGGATTCCTTTCTCAAGCCAATGTAACTATTGGCTCCTGGCTCTGGATGTCGGGTGGGGAGCTTCATGCTCTTCTCTGTGTGGGTTTTGCTCCTTTGGCCCTGTTGGGCATTTTGTTAATTTGCAGCCCTTTTCTTCTTTTTTTTGCAAAGGAGGAGTCAGCAGGCTTCCAGAGGGGTCCTTTGATTATTGATACTTGGTTGCTTTGGCCAGGGGTGCATCATTTGTTGTTTGGTGGTGGCTCTTCGCCCCTTCTTTCCTGCCACCGATTCTGCCTCGTGGAAGCTTGTAGACTGATCCTGTATCCTTGGTCCCCAGTTTGGATGCTCGCATTTCTCAGGTCTCCCACTGTTTTGTTAAATCTAGCCAACCTGTGGTCTACTCTCATGCCATGACGTTTGGAAATATACTACACTTGTGGCTGTCATTGCCTCTGTGAGGTAAGGGGGACCAGGTTCTATGGTTCTGGTCATCTGTAGCCCAAACAGAACTCTGTGATGGATGTGACCTTGTAATTGGAAGCAGTCTCAGCAAGATGTCTTCAGGGAGCCACTGGATTTTATCCAGAAAGAGGCATTTCATTACATTCAGCACTGGGTATTTTTGTACACAGGTGGGGTATAGTTGTAACATCTAACGTAAATATTACTTACTGTATTGGTGTCGGAATACGGTCCTGATCTTTTCATAGTGCTGGAAAATCGGTATCTGTTAAGAAGATCACTATTGGTCAGAATATTGGTATTAGTACACATTGACTTTCCAACCTCAAATACCATATGTAATAATGGGCAGGATGCTTGGAAAGTGTCATGAGGCAAAAATATAATTAAACAAGTACATAAAACACAAGATAATTGTTTAGAGTCACTAGGTCAGAATGTAGTGTGTGCTTGTGTGTTATGCACTGAATAAATAGTTTGGCTGTGCAAATCTTACATGCTAAGTTATATATGGGAAACCCACTCTCCAGCAGTTTAGAATTTGGTATTAAAATCTGTATTTTGCATGTGTAAATACACATTCTCTGAATGCACGGATAATGTGATTTTAATGAATGTATTCATATATCATGTATATTATTAAGCTCCCTTTATAAAAAGATTTAAAGCTGATAATGTCTCGTAGACAGATTCCATGTTAGTTACAAAGGCAATTCACAGATTTTTGCTCAAAGATTTTACAGTAGTTAATGCAACTGGAGGCAACAGACAGCATTTCCTTCCCCTGATGCCTGTGTTCACCTAGTAGTAAGTAAGTACCCGGGAGTCAGAGAGCCGTTGTGGGCTGCATCCTGCAGACCCTGATGCCGCCACTTCTCTAGCAGAAATTAAGTATCCAGAAATTAGGTGACTGCTGTGAGTTACATCCTGGGGAAAGGTCAGTAGTTGGTCTGGAGGGACCTTGTTAAGCCTAACAGGCATTCCATTCTTGACGATGGAAAACCAGACATTAAATATTCTGTCTTATACAGTAGCTGATATAGATGAAGGGTTGGAATATTTTCGAGGTTTTATGTGCATATTTCTTGGTGTACAACAGCAAATGATTCATTTTCATAATAGCTAGTTTAATGAAGACTCGAGGTAATGTTATTTGATGTTCTGAATTGGGATAATTTTCAGTATTTGCAAAATTTTGAATGTTGTAATCTCTTAAATATTTCAGCTATCGGGTATGTGAATATGTTTATGAGGAAAGAGGAGAACACGAGAAGATTGTTGAATGCTATCTGGAAGATAAACTGCGGAAACATCAGGTTTTTACCTACATTCGTTCAGTGTTGTCATCGCCACAGTTTACTGACCTCCATGCTCAGAAGATCCAGCAACAATTCCTCACACACATCAAAGTATGTGATAGACGAGTCCTGTACAGTGTGTGACCTTAACTCGCAATCAAGTATCTTGAGTCTGCTCCCTTGGTAGGACAGAAGTAGTTGGGCACATTTCCTTTCAACTGATAACTCTGTTCACCTAGCAGCAAATAGGTGAACTTATTTGCCTAGGAGTTAGGCAAATGTTGTAGGGTGCATCCTGGGGAGGGCCAGTAGTTGGCTTGGGGGACCTTGATAAGTATAAGTACAGGCTTCTCTCCCATTAATGTGAATCAGTTATGAGTTCATCATTTAATCAAATTAATTTAAGCTGATTGCAGTACTCTGTGTGTGTGTGTGTGTGTGTGTGTGTGTGTGTGTGTGTGTGTGTGTGTGTGTGTGTGTGTGTGTGTGTGTGTGTGTGTGTGTGTGTGTGTGTACTCGCCTATTTGTGCTTGCAGGGGTTGAGCTTTGGCTCTTTGGTGTGTGATGTATATATGTATGTATATATATGACAGTGTCAGACCACAGAGGAAAATTGAAACAGGAATTTCCTTAAGTACTTTCGTATATTAATACATCTTCAGAAGGAGGGATTTTACAGGTCAAGTATTGGACATATATAGGCAGGAGAGAGTGGTGGAGTGAGGTGAGGTACAATGACAAATGAATGGGAATTAGGTGGACACAAATATGAGCTGCACATGAAATGCTGAAGGCCTATTGGCCCATACGATGCAGCTCCTATCCATATCCACCAACAGGCCCACACATGGATTATAATAGCATAAGATAGTAAATATTTACAATGAATTAGTGAGACAAATGTGTTCCAATGATCCTACTCAAATTGCCTTTTAATTGATCTATCAAAAATGGATCTAAGTTATATAAACCACTGCTAATGTACAAATTACTTTCTTTTGTAATCTGTATCAAAGCAGATTCAATTATGTTTCTGTTATAAGTGTTTTTACAATTCGTTATTGAAGAAGCCATCTCCCAATCAATTTGGTGAGCATCTTCTTACAGATGAACAAACAAAGCATTAGACAATTGGCCATGTTTTACAGAGTATTTATGTTGCGAAATTCTACATTTCAAATCTTTAGATGTTTGCCCACCATAGAACTTATTACAGTCTTTACAAGGTATTTTATAAATGACACAATTATCACTACGAGGGCTGTTTCTAACTAATAGCTTACCAACAGTATTTTCATAGCTAAACAATACATGTATATCAAAAAGTTTCAAGGCCTTGACAATATTCTCAAACCCAGAGATATATGGTAAACATAACACATTCTTTGGGTGAATTTTTTCACTGCATATATTATTATATATGTATATATAATATATGCAGTGAAAAAATAATATATTGTATAATATACTGTATAATATTTGTTGCAGACACTCCTTGAGATTGACAGTAGCCGTGTAGCCAGTCTTCTCTTAACAATGCCTCAGTTGATGCCTCTGGTGAAAGATATCACATTGCAGTTGAGGGATGATGAACAGCTTCTTTATAATGCTCTCCATGCATTGTTCACATACAGGTGAGAACACTTTCTATACTTGCATTGTTGTGATTACATTTTGCATTTTATGATTGTGACTGCTTTCATTGTTTACAATTATACTGTACAAGCATTTATTTTATTTGTAGCAACAAAAGTATATTTAACTGAAGATTATTTTTAATTTGTATTAGAATTTGTATTAGATGTTGAGATGTAAGTCTCATCCTAATCACACACTCAGACCTTGATAAAGCACTCAGGAGAGTGCAAAAGACTTGGTGTAAATTTCTTACATAAATTTCACATATGCACATGTGTGGGTTTTTATCCTGTGTTATTATGTCTGAGAAGACATTCCCATTACTAATAATTTTTAATGATAATTTAAGCATTACAAAATGGTTCTACTTTCCTTTGATATTGTCTTATTCTTAGTTTCCAGAACTAAGTGCACAGTATTCTGCATAACTTAGCACACATGTGCTCTTAGAGTTTTGTCACGCTAAAGGTGCAAAACACATTTTTGGAGATTGACCATATTCACCACAAGAACGGGCTGTACAATGTTGTTCACCATTCTCCAGATCGACCCATGCATCTCCAGGGGGGCGTGGTGGAGACCTGAGTGATAGTCCTCTTACCTCAGAGCTTCATGAGGAGTACATTGATCTCATGTGTAGGGTAAATCCCAGCTTAGTTTACCCATATCTGAAAGGTGCTGAAGGTTACCGGCTGGAACAGACTCTGGAGGTATGTTGTGCATCTATGACTAGTAGTATGATCAGTATGATGTTTCGACACATGCATTGTTGGAGAACAGAGTTAATGTCATATGTACTTGCGTGATGTATATGCAGATAAGTGTTATGAAAATTATTTAGGCTTATAAACACACTACAGTAGTCAATATTTCATAATATTCTTAAACTTTGTGTAATGATTAACCACTGTGATGTGCCGAGTTTATTGTGACATTTCCCCCGTGTGCATGAAATTATGTGTTCCCCAAAATTCTATTTTGTTTGTAAAATGATAAATTCTCTGTCATTTTACAAACAAAATAAGGGGGGGGGGGTTCCAGGGCCATTGCTCCCTGCACCTCTCTGAGGGGGCCATGTTCTGGCTTGTGGTTCCCAGTAGGCTGAACTCCATAGAGTGATGCCCCGGTCTAATGTATCACATATTAGCCCGATAGCTCCAGGGAGTCTCCGGGTCTTACCTAGAAACTGGCATTTCGTTACGTTCAGTGCTGGTTTTTTACTGTACAGGTTCTTTATGATAAAAAATTTAATTTCACAGATCTGCAAGAAAAACAATCAGCAAGAGTCAACAGCATTCCTACTTGAGAGAGCAGGTGATATTAAAGGTGCTTTTGAGATTCTTCTAGTCATCCTCAAGTCCAAAGTTGGTGATGTAAGTACACATTTCTATATAGTAACTATTTGCTTCATCACAATCCTTCCCTAAACCCTCAAAGATGATCATTGTTGCTTCATCACAATCCTTCCCTAAACCCTCAAAGATGATCATTGTTGCTTCATCACAATCCTTCCCTAAACCCTCAAAGATGATCATTGTTGCTTCATCACAATCCTTCCCTATACCCTCAAAGATGATCATTGTTGCTTCATCACAATCCTTCCCTAAACCCTCAAAGATGATCATTGTTGCTTCATCACAATCCTTCCCTTAACCCTCAAAGATGATCATTGTTGCTTCATCACAATCCTTGTCTAATCCCTCAAAGACTGATTATTGTTTTATCACTTACCTTGTTTAAACCCTCAAGACACTTATTGTTGCTTTATCATTTTCCTTGCTTAACCCTGGGCTACGCACCTGTTAATACAGTAGCTGACAAGCCTGTGGTGACCACAGGCTTGTCAGCTGTAAATTACTGTATTCTGAAAAATAATTTTTTCTTCTGACTTTGTTAATTAGAATCCAGGAAGCATGAAAATCCAAGTAAAGAGTCTATGCCTCTTGTGGTTTAGCTGTAGTGGCTCAGAGAAGTTGTGTTTTTCGCTAGAAATGAGGTGACATGCCACAAGGGAATAACTTTGTTGATTTACTTTGTTTCTAAATTTATACATTTTCATGCTAACGGGTCAAAGATGGTGTTCCTTATGTATAACTTTGAAAATATAAGTAGGTATAGCTATACGAGTGTAAATATACACAGACCCTATATTTTTTCATACCAGGTGTGGTATGAAATATATATTTATATATGTTTCATACCAGTATATATATACATATGCACACACACAAAGTGGATGCACTGTGGTTTTATCTAGTAATGGAATCTCTTATCTGTCTTGTTGCAGCTTAGGCCAGTTGGTTTGATTTCCTATTGTCAGGGACATGAAGCCTGTTAGGTCTGAGGTCCACCAGGCCAACTACTGACCTTCTCCAGGATACACCCCATAATCCTTGTCTAACTCCTGGGTACTTATTTACTGCTAGGTGAACAGAGGCACCAGGTGAAAGTAAAATGTGCCATACTGTCCATCCCGCATGGAAATACTGTACAACCCATAGGAGTCATCCTGGTACTGTCATGTTTCATGCCAGATAATAGTTCTGGATTTGATTCCTGCAGCAGGGCAGAGACGTTTGGGCAATATTTTTATTCGCCTGATGGTTCTAGGTATTTGGAAGTTAGGCAACTGTTGTGGAAAACATGCTGAAGAAGGCGAGGAGTTTGCATACAGGGACCTCGATAAACCTAACAGTCTTGCTGTTCCTGACAATGGGGAACTATATGCAGTGTTTAAAAACAAGGATGGGTAATTTATGTCTTTGGTCATTTATCTGACAAATCTTTTTACCTTAGCTGTGATTAAATTTTGATTTAATGAATAATTTTCTTACAAATAATAGATATCAATGTAGGCCTCCAGTGCAGTATTCAGAAAATAAAACAGATTAATGGAAGGGCTGTGATAAATAAGTGACTTCTTTAAATTGTGTACAAAGTGTTAATTATAGTTTTGTATGTTTATTTAGAAAGACATCAATTTGTAGTTAGTTTTGGTATCTTTCCAGCTTTTGTCTAATGTAGATGATAACGGGACCATGAACTCTCAAGTGTCGTTGGGTCATGTTCAAGCTCAGGTAAGTCATCTAATCTCATTATAATTTCTGTGTTACATATGATTATTGGCATAATAATATATCATCATCTTTCCTGGGGGGGGGGGAGCCCCTTGAGACTACCTGATGCTGTTATCATTTCTGAAACTCCCTGAAACAATTTGATTTGATTTTGGGCCAATCTCTGAACACATGCTCCCTCTCACCTTTATTCACCAGATTCACACTAGACTGTGAATCTGGTGTTGGGAAGGTGTGTGTGTGTAGAGCCAGTGCACCCAAGAACTACTGAGGCTGTCCAGGAAAGTGCATTTTATTACATTCAATGCTCAATATATTTATTGAATAAGTTAAGTCTATAACAAAGTTGCACACTTAATATGACATAATCATGGAAAAGGACAAATATGAGAGTTTAAATTAACTTTATTAGATGAATTTTTGGAAATGTAAGGTACTGGAGAAAGCACAGACTTTTCCATTCCACAAGTTTGCTCTCGAATGGAAAAGAGAAAGCATAGTGTTCAGTCGATGGGTTGTAACTCATAAATTAAATCTCGAAAGATGCTGCAGTGTAAGTATTATGAGACCAGACTTGAAGTGGGGTATACAACTGGTAAGTTTAGGAGTGCAGGAAACATGCCATTATTTTTAGAAGAGGGAAAGTGATGCAATTTTTCAACTGGCTGCCAATATTTCCAACTTAGATGTGAGATCAGGTGAACTGTTCAGATGAAAAGTTTTTTTCTGAATTGAGTCAAGAATTTTTGATAGAATAGGAGCAGATGTGAGAACATTATGCTGAACAAGAGCAAACAAGACTTGTAGAGCTAGAGGTAACCAGGAATTGAAGTATTGTTGAACTTTAACATAATACCAAACATTCTCAAATAACTCTTAGCAAATGTTGAGATGTAATTTTTTTCAGACCAGATTTCAAGTTACTGATTCTTGAGTTATTGATGGAAGACTGAGGTTTGAGAACTAGGTTTTAAAAATAGAGCTGGCAATTAGGTGGAGTATTTTTCTTTTCTTTTTTATTAGAATTGACTAAATTCCTTTGTATGTCAAGGGGGAAATGGAGTGAAGATCATACACAAGTGAACTAGCCTGAAAATAAGCAAGATATGGTGAGGATTGCAAAAAGGATTTGACCTTAATTAAGCATGGCTATCAGTGCAAAGTGGAGTCATCAGCATAAGAATAGACAGCAGTGTGCTGTGCAGAAATTAATTTGTGAATAATACAAATTAGTAAGTGATCGTACAGAACCTTGCGACTATAAATAAATGCACACACGGGCAGAAAGTCATAGGATGGAAGCTTTGAGAGAAAATGTTTGTGCTATACTTAGCATAAGCTTAGGATATTCTCTGATTGTGTTCAGATAAGCTGTGTATATAAGATCTAGTTTAGTAGTTTACATATTGTATTGGTTTGATGCTAATCATACATAATACTGTAGTGGTGTTTTGCGCCTTAAACCAAAACAGTGGAAAGAAAATATAGCCATATATGGCACCTGATTTTAAGAGCAAAAAAGGCAAATACTAGGTACTCTAGTGAAATGGTATCATTGTGGTATATAATTGACACTGAAGACGTGTGTGAATATTTGGGCTTGAATTTTTGTCACAACTTGATCAAAATCTGGGACAAACTGAAATGTTGCAACTTTCATTTAATTTCATTTATATAAGTTCAATAATTTATTTGGTGAAGCTTCAGAGTAGTTAATCCTTCCCACTGTAGGTGTAAAATGATTGTTCAGTAGTTAAATAATCTACTTTGTGTATTTGCATTCATTAACTTGTCTGTCCTAATGCGAAAGTGTGAAAAGTTCACCAATTAAAAGCAGTGGATTTATAATTGACTATTTGAAGAATATTTGGTAACACAAGATCTTCATGGCAGGTTGTAAAGCTGGTGCGTGTATGTCAGCTTGGCTCCAGTCAGTTGGAAGAGTCGGGGCGTCGAGAGCTCTGGTTCCCTCTACTGGATGTGCTCCTGTCCACTCAACCGCCACTTGTCAATAACCAACACTTAGCTCATGGTAGGATCCCTGTCTGCCATAGTAGGTCACCTGTCAGCCATGGTAGGTCACTGAGAGTCATGGTAGGTCACTGTCATTCATGGTAGGTAACCTGTCAGTCATGGTAGGTAACCTGTCAGTCATGGTAGGTCACTGTCAGCCATGGTAGGTCACCTGTCAGCCATGGTAGGTCGCTGTCAGTCATGGTAGGTTACTGTCAATCATGGTAGGTAACCTGTGAGCCATGGTAGGTAACCTGTCAGCCATGGTAGGTCTCCTGTCAGCCATGGTAAGCCACTTTTAAATTGATAGCAGACTGCAGACTCAATATTTGTATCTATTTCCCATGTATATATATAAACGGCATGTATGTATCTATAAAACTGAAATCTGCCATTTACTCATACATCTAGTATCCCTAATGTGTAGGGCTGCACAAATAGTCATTTACTTGTCCAGAGGCATTTCATTACATTCAACACCAGTTTTCTGGTGGCTCCCAGAAGCTAGCTAACAACAGAGAAGAAAACAAGCGACTTACCAGGGACGAATAGGAGAGACACAAGGTCAGGATACACAGCTTTGTGTTCCCAAAGCAACACAGGGAAAGTCGAGGTTCAGGGACACTGACGAAATACTGGGCCACCAAGATCCTATGTGACTGCCAAAACCCACTTGCCAAAATATCAACTCAGGGCATGTGGGAATGCACTGTTGCCAGTACAGTATGTATGTAAACACTATGGGCATCAGGGTGGACTGTAGGCTGGCTACATTTAATAACATTGCAGTCAATCTTAGAAATGCTACTCCTTGAAAAGGGGACCAAGGGAACAGGATCAACCCACAAAACAACCACCAAGGTAGAATCAATGACACAAAGGTAGCAGCGAAGAGCCATCGCCGGATGCAACATGTGACACACCCCTGGGCGAACCAGAGCAGGAGAGGCTTCTGAAATAGTGGGAAAATTGAGAACCTATATGGCATGCATAGAAATGATAAAACAGCTAAATTATTGGGCCCATCTCAAAGCTTTCTCAAACTTCTTTTTTTCTTAAATTTGCTTTCTTAAGAATAATTGTAATCCATAAAATCGGTAAAAATTTCTGCTCCTTGTTGAGCTCCACTCTGAGTGGCTCCACACTGACATTGAATCAGTGTGGAGTCACTCAAAGGGGTTTGAGCTAGTGTCAAGTGAACCATTTGTTCTGAATAATCATTTGTAGAGTTATTTGGGTGTTTCAGCACTTCATTTTCTATGAACCATGCAGTTGTCTGTATTTTTTGCTTTCCCAGTGTGGGGGATTATAACAATCCCCCAGCTCTCTGCACAACTATTAAGAGGCTGGGGCCAGATTCACGAAAGCACTTACGAACGTGTACACCTTTCCTCAATCTTTGACGGCTTTGGTTACATTTATTAAACAGTTTACAAGCATGAAAACTTGCCAATCAACTGTTGTTATTGTTATAAACAGCCTCCTGGTGCTTCCGAGCTCATTAACTGTTTAATAATTGTAAACAAAGCCGCCAAAGATTGAGAAAAGATGTACACGTTCGTAAGTGCTTTCGTGAATCTGGCCCCTGGATTCTGATTTTGGTCTTTGGTAGGCCAAACAGGACCTCTGTGATTGATGTGATCTAATAGTGGGAAACCATCTCAGTGAGATAGCTTCAGGGTGCCACCGGGGGTCTACCAGAAAGAGACAATTCATTACACTTAACACTGGTTTTTCAGAGATGCGTGGAATGGTTGGTCATGTGGTGAACAGCATGATGACTCACATATCCCTGCCAGCAATCCTAGAGCGAGTGATGCATGACCCTGGGTACTGTGGGGGAAACTTTGCCCAGATCAAACACCTTCTAAAAGGCAAGTTTTCAAGTGAAATTGGTATAAAGTACTCTATGTATAAAAGTACATATATTGCAAAGTATGGACCAGTCCATACTGTGTCTCCAAATCAATCTGCATTACTTAACACTAACATCCTAACCCTAACTCAGAATCTCTTAAGTCATCCCCTGGGTTACTCAGTCATTACTTACCTATACACATGCATACTTATAAGAGTTCAACTCCATACAGTCGAGAGAACTGGCCCATCCTAGCTCTGGGGACCTTGTCTCTCTGTTCTTCCATCAGGGATTTGTTGGACCATCTCTACCCAACTTCCTTTAGTGTACCAGCTTGAACGTGTTAGTCATCTAATCATGCTCATCGTGATGTTTTCAAGATATAGTAACTGTCAATTACCTCAGGCCATGAATTGTATGATCAACCCATGCCTCAGACACACATTGTGACACAGATGCCACAGTCAAACTTTTGCAAAGGTTTAACCTGACCCCCGGTCAATTTCCAACTCAGCGTGGAAGTGCGATTTCTTACAAAAAAAGACCTGACCTTTGTTAATCCCCTTGAAGCACCATTTGCTGTCTCCAATGCACAACTTGTAGCACAGAACACATTATAGTCATTCACTCTTACTCATATGCAAAAATTTTTAAGAAATTCTCCTAGTTAGATATCTAGTACAGTACTGTATTTAGATTACAACAACTTCAGCATATTGCATAACTTTTCAAGATACTTCATCATATTGCAGAACTTTGCAAGATACTTCATCATATTGTATAACTTTAACTTTGACCAGTATATTCAGCCATGAGCACTTAACACTTTCGCGCTCTCGGCGCTCAAAAAAAAACAATACCCCAGATGCTTTCGGCACTTCGCGCGCCTACGCGGTAAGACCGAAAAGTGTACACTCTTTTGACTGTCCTGACAATAATTGAAGGCGCACGTATTTAAATTTGGTATCACTGTGTTCGCAATGAAATTGTCTATAAGAGCATACCTATAAAATGCCGCCCAAGCATAAGGAGTATCAACACCAAATAAAAAACTATGCAGATCACTCGCCGAGAGCGCCAAACAGCAACAAAATGTTTCCACTCTCTTAATGGTTGCGAAACCTACAGTTGTCCTACATCGCCAATTTTGGTATCATTGGAATCACAATAAAATTCTCTACACGGACATATGCATATGAATGTTTAATATAGGTAATTGCCCACCCGCAAGAGTGTGTGAAGTGGAGAGTAGTTAGCCGCGAGCGCACTGGCGAAAACACAGGGGGGAAATCATGCTTGGAAAGTTTATACGTTTCCTGACCCTACTTTTCTATGTACGTATTTCTTTTTTATACCAATGTGTTCGCAATAAAATTTTCTATAAGATGAACTGTATAACATTTGTACAAAGCATGTGTAAGAGAAGCGCCAAATATAGAACCACGTCGCTCAGTATGCGTTCGCGGCAGAAACGAACGCATTGTTTTCGTTCGTTTGATGTTTGTCATGTTTATACTTGTTGAAACATTTTATAATTTGTATGACAGTGATCGCAGTAAAATTCCCTACACAGACATATACATAACACATACAAATATTTCCCACGTGTTGGATATATCAACGGCTAAAGGGAACCCACTGCCACATGCTCGCCACACCCCCAAACATACTTTGTGTATTTTTTTTTTTACTCATAGAAGTTTATGTGATATAATATTCATTCTGGTACCAAAACATTCGCAAATAAATTCCCTACAAAACAAAAGTATCCCCATCCATTTCGGTTAAAAAATGGAATTTATAGAAATATTTTTTCGATGGACGAGAAAACTCGGCTGTTATGCGGAATCGTAAGAGAAAACGGCGACGAGTTATCTCTAATCTAAAGCGCGAAAGTGTTAAGCTAACAACAGTGGCAGAGTGGAATCTAACAAGTTTACCAACAATGGACTAAAGTACTGTATTCAAACAACTTACAGTTAACATGATTTGGGGCATCTTTTCAGTTACTATTTTGTTTCTGCAGGTATGGTTGAGAGATATGTGTATGAAGAGACACTGTATGCAACAGTAGTGCGGATCATTGCAGGGGACCAGCTGAGATACCTCACTCTGCAACACAACCAAGCATGTGCCCCCCTTGTAGTCTACTCAACCACTTGCGCAATCTGTCATAGCATTTATCACCCATCGAGCAAAGCAGTGGCACATAGGTGATTAAGTTTTTTCAGATACTATAGTGCATACTGATGTTTCATAACATATTCTTTTCATTTTATATATCATGAATTTAAGCTTTGACTCTCTGTGATAAAGTCGTTTTAAGGAATACTGTTCATAAAGAATACATAAGGGATGAGTCAAAACTCATGAGGGTCAGGAACAAGATTCAGTGTTTTATTATTTTTTACCTTACAATGGGATCTCCATTTTTCTGATTTTTGGATTTTCCAGGAATGGCAATATCCCTTTCTCCATCCAAATTTACTGGAGTATGCCCAGTTAATGATAAGCGTATGCATTCTGGGAAATCCTTAGTACTGTACTGTATAAGTAAAAGTATAAGTACACACTGGTTTAGGAAATACAGAAATGCATTCCAGAGTGAGATGTTCATCTGGTCATTGAGCAGCAAATAGGTACTAGGAAGTTAGGCAACTTTGGAGGGTTGCATCTTGGAAAAGGTCAACCGTTTGGTTCATGGGCAACATGATAAGCTTTCTGTCCCCGACATTGGGAACTAAGTAATTATTTCCAAAATAAACTTTCTGAGCTGTATCACTCGGTTGCTTCCTTACGTAATGTCTCTTTCCTTCAAAAGGAAAGGGCCAGTCAACCTTTATACCTGAGCATTTGCTTTGGGACTACTATAGGGATATGTTCACACATTCCCCCCACCACTCTTTTCCAAGGTAATGCTGGGTTAAGTAAGACAATGGAGAATACTCTACACAGTTTTCAGTAATCTCCAGAAGGTTAATTTATACACATCCACAGCACACTCCTAGCTCAACTTATTGTCAGACACTAAAAATGGCTTTTCAAACTGCTAGTTGGTCATAACTGCTTCCCCCAGTCACCACAGATGTGACCTACATGTCAGCAAAGTAGTAAGAAGCAACTCGTCTCACATTTCTATTGGTTCTTCCTTCTGGCTTAAGATTGAAACCTAATTTTTCTAAGTGATGTGTTCATTCTTGGAAACTTTGTTTTAATTTTACAATTGGCTTATAGTTAGTTGATTAAGCAGTACTCAAGTTTTTTGCTTGTGCTGGTTCAGTTCATGCCTTAACTGTGGTCAATTTCATCTTTGAATTTGTCCACTGATTTTTCAGCTTCTTGAATCTTGATGATGGGCTGAGGGGTGCATGCTTGGCACACATTTTCATATGTTCAGCCACTATGTCATTTTCCTTTATTATATAATTTGTTCATACAGGGCTGGGCTTCATTCTGCTTGCAGAAACCCTGAATTCAAAGTGGAAAGAAGTTTTCACTGTCTTTAATGTGACATTGATTGAGAAGAATCTGGGTTTCTTCATTTGGGTCCTATATGTTGACCTGTGAGTTGCTTCCTGGTAGCTGCACATGTAGGTTTTTTTCTTTATTGCAGCTACTTAGTGTGCCTGGCTTTAACCCTCACTCTGCCTGGTGATCCATAGACAGGCAGTGCACCTGCACTGATCATCTGTAGACGATTTAACCCAGCCCAAGTTGTTTGTAAGTGAAGGTGGGTGTATTGGTGTGCAGTGTAGCTGATTTGACTACACACACACAGAAGGTCTGTACTCTTTAAAATGCCCTGACAGAAGGACAGTATGGTAAATGTTGTATTAACACAAGAGGTTTCCGTTTGGCACCACTAGTACCAGATTTCTTAGCACCTAGACCAGGCAGTATGGATAAAGTAGGCATAGTGCACTTGACTGTTTTATGACATTCTTTGCTAATGAATCATAGCCTACACAAAAAAATGCTAGGTATATTTGTAACATACTGAACTGTGCTGTATTTCAAGACTAGTGCTATTATAAAAATATAAAAAAATATAAAGTTGGAAAAATGCAACCGGAGCATGGGTGTCAAGGAAATTTAAACATTAAGAAATGGATGCCTATTCTAATTTACAGTGCTGTTGGTATCAATATTGTCTTGTGGTGATTTAGGGAGCCTGTACCTGGGTGAATCGGGATGTGATTCTGTTCAATCCCCCTGTTCATAGGGAAGAGTGGTCACCAGCTCAGCTTCCGGTTACCGAGTTGGTGAGCTGCATGCTCTCCTTCAGTGCCGGGGTTTTTGTTCTTTCTGCCCTTGGTTCAATTCGTTCATCTGCAGCCGACTCTTTTCTGGTGAAGAATGAGTATGTTGGTTTCCGAAACCATCCTTTGATGGTGGATGCTTGCTGGTGGTTGCATGCTGTGGGTGTTGCCCAATTTTTGTCATGTGACTGTGATTATACTAGAAAACATTAGGATTTTTGTTGTTCTTAGCAGCAATTTCATATTTTTTACAAACATATTTTAAATAAAGATGTTTGCATTACTATTTTGATGATTACAATGTAACAGCAGATAAATGATGTTCATAGGCTTCTTTATTCAGTTTTTTAATGGGTATTGGATATGCCAATATGCCTGACTATAATCAAATTATAATCATATATTTTGAAAATCAAAGGTTTTATGTACGGTATTTCGGAAGAGAAAGTTCCAGTCAAAGGGTTTCTGGATTCTAGATCCCCCCCAAATCAAGGTGTTTCTGGATCTAGTCATTATAAGTAATGTATTAATATTATGAGTGTGAGAAGAGAAAAACTAGTGACCAATGGATGTTGCCAGTGTTATGTATTCTTGCAGTTGTGGTCATAGTTATCATGCACAGTGTGGTGGAGAGTCAACTTCCTGCATGCTTTGTATGGGAGGCAGTCAAGAAAACACAACAGAGGAGACACAGCCTAATGACTCCAAGTCTGAACCTTTGGTAAGAAGCTCTGTCGATTTATTATTTTCCGTGTTTTTAGTACCATATGTACATAGGACACATTTCTTCTTCTTTGTTTATGCAACAGTTTGTCTTATGTCAGTTTAGAACAATATTCCAGTTAATACAGTAATGCAAGGTCCTTACATTCATCCTTGGATTAATATTTGCAATGAAGGGAGGAGAGAAAGGTAGTTGGTGTTTTATGAATGCAGTTCAAGGATTGATATACTGTTTATAATTACATGAAAGCAGAGGCTGTAAATAGGATAATTTGGATTATGGAAAAAAAACAGAGATTGTAGGGATAGTAACAAAAAGTAAGGGGCAATGTATTCATTGTAGCTTATGTTATGAGATTGGAAAAACAATATGGAGTGGTAGGGGAAGAAAATAAAGAAAAATTAATAAAAAGAAAAGTTAGAGAAAGAGAAGGAAAAGGGTATAAGGAGAGTGGGAAATAATTACAAAACGGGAGAGAATAAAGAGGCTCATCCCTCCCACTTCACTATATAGAATGAAAGAAAGAGGAGAGGGAGAAGGCTGAAGAATATGGGGAAAGAAATTCTCTCTTTCTGAGATGTGCAATAATAGATGGCTAAGGGAAGGAACATACAGAAATTAATTATCTTCAGTGTCAGTACCAATTATAGCTTTCATTCTTGAACCTTTGGTAAGGTTCAAGAATGAATGCTGATTATGTCTCCCTTGGTATTGGTGCATCACCAACACTTCCTTTTCTTATCCTCTGTTAATAATAGTATTTTTCTTGATAAACATTTGAAACAGTCCACAGAATATTCAATGAGGATTAAGGGTGCAGTGCAGCAAAGTCTATTTCCACTTATCTGGGAGAAGTCACTGGTGTCTTCCTGAAGCTATTTACCTACAGAGATGGAAACCACTGGGCATTTGCCAGAGAGGAGGAACCACCACAAGAACAGGACTAAGAAGAGACACCAGGCCGATAGGCATGACCGAAACCCACATAAGGGCATCACGGCCTGGGAACAGGAACAAGATACTAGTACTGGCCACCAGAACTCTGGTTGACTGACAAAACCCCACATCCGGATATGAGCCCAAGACATGACGGGTGAACAGAGCTGAAAATGAGGCATAATAACAAACATCAGGGGCTCTAGGAGTGACTGCACACCAGCCTGATCCAAGGACACTGCAGACAACCAGATACACGAGCCATGGAACAGGGGACCAAGGTGATAGGAATGATCCCCAAAGCAGCAGAGACAGAAACAGTGTTGCAAAGATAGTGGCAGAGAGCCTCAACTGAACACAGGAAGCATCCCCGGCTGAACCAAACAAGCAGCAAGAACAAGAGACGCTTCTGAAAGCTAATCGATTCATTCATCAAAAAAAAGGGAGCAGCTACAGATGAAGAAGCTGCCCAGAAGGGCCAAATGAGCAACATCCTCCACTGACAGAGGGGAGGGTGCTCACCAACGGAAAAGGTTGCCGAGTTGGTGAGCTACATGCTCTCCTTCAGTGCCGGGGTTTTTGTTCTTTCCGCTCTGGGAATCATTTTGTTCATTGGCAGCCGACTCCTTTTCTGGCGAAGAATGAGTACAGTATGTTAGTGTCCGAAAGGGTACTTTTGGTGGTGGATACTTGGTTGGTTCAGCCGGGGGGGAGGGGGGAACATCATGTGCTGTGTCCATTGGTGGCTCTGCCTTGCTGCCTTTGCGCCATCGCTTCTCCTTCGGTGGACTTGTTGTGGGTTGATCCGGTTTTCCTGGTCCCTTGTTCCAGGGCTCGTGTTTCTCAGGTCATCTGCAGTGTTTAAGTCCAGCAAGCCTGCAGTCTGCACTCATGCCCATGACATTTGAAAAATTGCCGCATTCTAGTCTATGTTTGCCAATATGTCTTGGGCCGATATTTAGGCGTGGGGATTTTGGAGGGTAAAAAGGGTCCTGGCAACCAGGTATCTTGTCACTGTTCCTCCTCCTCCTCCTCCTCGTCCTTATGTGGCCTTGGGTCATGTGTTGTGGGCCATGTTTTCTTCAGTGTGATTTTTCTTTCACTGTTGGAAGGTAGCTTCAGGAAGCCACAAGGGTGCTGCCCCCCCACCTCCCCCCCTCCCCCCCCCCCCCCCCCAAAAAAAATAAGCATTGAATGTAATGAAATGCTAATTTCTGGATGAGCCCCAGTGGCTCCTTAACACCCTCCCACCCCAAGGGAGTTAGGGGTGGGTTTTCTCATCATCATAGAACTCTGGGTGGAGCAGCCAGCTGACTCGGTCTGCCTCCCTTATCTCCCCAAAATGAAGGGAAGAGGTGGGGCAAATGAGCTAGCTAGCTTGTGAATTTTCTATCATTTGTTTACATTTTAGGGAAGTTCTTTTTTAGAGATTTTGAGATCTTAATATTTTTTAGAACCACCATTGGTCTGTTGTATTTCGCTGACATTGTGGGTGCTTCCGTGATGGTGTCGGACTTTATTAAAATTCACTAACAATTTTATCATGGTGCCACTGCTCTTTGCACCTCATTTCTAGAGAGGAGACCAGGTTCTGACTCATGGTCCCTGGTAGACCTAAACGAACTCTGCAACTGATGGCACCTAGTAGTTTGGCGCTATATCAGCATTGCAGCTTTAGGAATCCACAGGGGATCACTCGGAAATAGGCATTTCATTACTTTCAGTGCTGTTTTGTTTTTTTCTCTCTCCTCTTTCCAGGGTTGCTCAGTCTTTGTCTTCTACAACCGCTTCTTGCCAGCCAATTTCTAACCTATTTGGGTTAATAGAGTTCTTAGTGAATCCAATATTTTTTATATCGTTCACCTTGTGTCCTTCTGTTCTCGTATTATCATCTTAAGTGATTCAGCACCTTTTGAATATCTAATAACATTGACAATGCTACATAGTCTTCCCAGCCTATGGCCTTCTTTTGATAGCTACTTACTTATCCATGAATGAAGCTGTGTGTGTGTTCTTTGTAGACAGGACTGGACGAGACACAATTGGAAGGCATTCGCCGTGTGCGATCATTGGGTGCTGGAGGATCAAGATTACAATTCCTTGAAGACTTATCTTCTCCACCGAGAGGATCTGTTGTGGAAGCCTCAGCCGCTAGTACATCGTGGAGAAGTTCAGGCTCCGTGTGTGGAAATCAAAATATTTGGTTATCCCAAAACTTTGCTCTGAAACTAGCACCACCAACAATAGATTTTGGCAAAGATGATGCATGGTGATTTTACATGAAAATGTAGATAAATTAGTAGTTCTGGATTCTAACATTTGTGGTTTATCTAGTGTCTACATACTTTCCATTCAGCTAATGGTCTAAAGAACTGAATGTGTTACATCAGATTTCAAAGTGAACTAACTAATGAATATTCTTGGAGAAAATGTTTCTCTGTATTAAGATCATAATGTGGTTAAAGCATGTGAGAGAAGCTGCAAGGTACTTGCAAAGGCAAGGAATTATCATTCTTATGTTGAAAAGTAATTTTTATTCACAGCCTGTAAATACACAAAATATTTATAGACAATATTTATGACATCTGTGCTTTAATTAATTAATACTTTTGACTCATTTCCTTTCAGATGTAAGTTAATGCTTTACATGGAGTCAACAAATTAGTTTTATATGATTTTAGTTAATATATAAATACCTGACTACCCATAAAAAATCTTATGTAGTATTGAAAATGGTCTTAAATACAGTATCTTTTGATAATAACTAAAATACAGTACTAATACAGTACCTTATGCTAATTATTGTAAATTATAATTGAATGAATGATGAATCTTTGAATTAGGATATTTTGTATAGTATTATACAAATACAGGAACAAAGCTCAATTTGAATTAAAAAATATAAAGGTATTCTTCTTGTAAGTGATAAGCATGCTTCCATAATCTAATGGAGTAAATAGCAGTGCTGTATTTTCCACCTGGTGGAATATTACGAATGTGGACACCAAATACCAACAGGAAGCTTGTATGGGCATAAGACTGAACATGCGAGACTTACAAAGATTTTGCTAAAATAGAGATTAAGAGTAAAATTTAGTAGATAAGCACAAGTCTTCTGTAACATTGCCGAAGGTGTCAAAACATTACAAGTGGGATATATGGTAAGAGCCGTGTATGGAAAGTATCACACCAAAGAAGTAAGTTAGTACATTGATTAATTATACCAGTGTAGAAAGGATGAGAAGTTTCAAAGGTCATTGTTGCCATCATGGTCACAAGTTGATGGTAACCTTGATGTGGGTGTGAACATGGATCTTTGTGACGATGACAGGGAGATCAGATCACTCTTCTGCTTCATAAATACCAGAATTAATGTAATCAATGTGGATAGAAGTACTGTATCGGTTCCAATAGGAAGAATAAGGATTGTAACAGGTCTCTGCTTTGTAGAAATCATTTTAAGAAAGGTTATTTATTTATTATAAATATGTTTAGCTGGAACCTTAATAATGAGGTCATGAGTGCCATATAAACACTTTACTGTACAATATTCTGGGTCCTGTAGTGCAGTGGTCAGTGCAGTCAGTTCACACCCAAAAGATCCCAAGTTCAATTCCTGTTGCAGGACAGACACATCTGGGCATGTTTACTTTCACCTGATGTCCTCAGTTCACCTAGCAGTAAATAGATATCCTGGAGTTAGACAACTGTTGTGGGCTACATCCTGGTGAAAGTTAGTTGTTGGCAAGGGGAACCTTGATAACCTTAACAGGCTACCTGTCCCTGTCAGTGATAAACTCAATCTTTAAGTCAGATTAACAGGAAGAGTTTTGGGTTTTAATATGACCGTTAGGCTCATCTCAGGGAAAGGACTACTTTAGGTTTGTCTTCGATCCTTTGACCAGAATAAGGACTAAACAAGTTACTATGTGCCTCCCTCTAGGTAGTTGGAGCACAGTTCCTTGAGCCTCACCAGTGAAAGGCAGTGTTTTAAGGTGGTTAAGTATGGTAACAACTAAGCACAACAGGAGTTACTGTCTTATGGGTACAAAATAGAGTTGGGCAAATTTATATACTTTTTTTATGGCATAACAAATGGAAGCTGGTGTAAACTACCAGTTATGGCAAAGTTCTTTGAATGGGTTTGAGCATTGCTCCTGCATTCAGGATAATTTTTATTCTTTTGTCCCACTCTTATTGTTTACAACTCTCCACTATGTCATGTAAAATAAATGTTGACTCATTCTTTTCAGAAGTTTCTTATTAATTATATGTTTAGTATGCAGTATTGTAATTTTTTTTCACATTACAAATACTGTACAGTATATAACGTATAATTTAATGTACAGAGGCCTGCAGTGTGCTCACTTTCTGGGGATAATGTGTGTAAGCACTTAAATGCCAAGCTTTAAAGTGCGTTGGTGAATTTTGCCTGAATTCGTTGGGAAATTGATTAATACAGATTAGCATGACAGTCACACTACCTTACTTCCTAGCCTTGTGTGTTATTAACTAGGTTTTTCATACATCTTTCTTACTCGATTTAATTTTTACAGTTTGCCGAGTAAAGCTCTCATTCAGGTGTTGGTTTATGCTTCTCCCATCACCATCAGGTGGTGCTCTCAGATGTAACTCAACCTGGGCCAGGAAGGTAATCTCTTCCACAGACCACTTTGTGCAATTTGATGGCCATCTGTGTATTTAATATACAGTACCTGTATATTGTCTAAATACCAAAGAAGGAACATTTAACAAAAATCAACTATTTCCTTCATGATCATTTCATCAAAATGGCCTATAATAACTACAAGCAAAAGCATTCATACCTGAAAGAAATGATAGGTTTTCCTTGCACCATGAAAGCTAAAATATTAATGAATGTTTTACATGATATTACTAACAGAAAGCTGCATAGTTCAATGACCTTGCAAGATTTGATTGGCTGAAGTAAGTACAAGGTTTGGAGGTTCAATTTGTCCAATGTCCATCCTATATATTATACCTGAATAATACGCAATGCTTTGGCAGTTATACAAGAGGAGCCTAGGTTGCTAGACAGTTGTACAAGTTGACATTTCAGGCAGGTGTGTGCACTTGTGCACACACCTACCTGACTTCTGATATGCACTAGGGCAAGAAAAAAATGACTAAAGAAAATTATATGTGATCGTTTAATATTGAATAAGAGCATAATGCTTGCGAGAGAAATGTTTGCCAGGTGTGTACTGATCATGAGCATTATTCTTATAAGCTCAAGTTGGCAACACATGAGATATATAGAGTACTGCAAATGTTTTTAAAAGTTAGGTTTTCATGTTTATATTATGACACTATTCATCAAGTGTAATATAACGATGCTGTTTATCCACAGCATAATATAATGATACTGTTCATCCAGTGTTATGGTTATAATATGATTCTGTTCATCCACAGTATAATATAATGTTCATCCAGTGTAAGATAATGATGTATTTCATCCACAGCTTAGAGTAGATGAACAAAGTTGTCATAAGAACAATAAATGCACTGCAGTTCATGGGTGGCTTTAATAAATATATTTAATATTTTGTTAATGTATATACAGTATATATATATATATATATATTCCCATATTTGTAATTTTCTATTTTTCTGAATACAGTACTCATATGCCTGATTGCTTTTACATTAAATGAATGACATTAGCAGGCTTTAATATGGTCAACCTCATTTCCTAGCAATCTTATACCAAAAAAGAACCATATTTTAATGTATGAACACATTCCATTACACCAACTCAAACAGAATATATGCTCAAGAAAATAAAAGTATTCATTTTATATTTTGTTTTTGTTAAGCCTTATGGTCAATTTTAATTATGGATTTGGAACCACATTATTGACTGTTTTTCCTTATACAGTACTGGTACAGTATTGTGAAGTGTGACCCAAAATACAGCTTGTAGATTATTTTATGATATATTCTAGTTGAACTAAGGAAAGAGTTTTTTTCTGGACAGGCTCCTATGGTGTCTCCTTAGTGCTTGCTGCCTGGAAAGCTCCACCCAATTCAATCTACACCAAACTCTTGCAAGTCACTGTAAGCCTCCTGGGTACCAGATCACCGTAACCTAAGAGACCCGGTCGAGGACCAGACTGCGGGAATGCTAAGACCTGAAATCATTGCAAGGTAAGGTAAAGTAGCCTAGAAAAGGCCTCCAGAAAGGTGGAAGAACCAAAACATACAATCAGCAAGACAAATGTAGCATAGGAAATGAGAAAACTAACTTCGAAATAAACAAGCCTCCCGGTCGTGAAGCAGTTCTTGTTCCACCTGTGCACCACTAATAAAATGTGTACTTTCCTCCTCTATCTCGATAGCCTTCATCCTCAGCCATTCTGGGAAAGCCTCTTGGTGGCTGCCTGAAGCTAACTCGCAGAGATTGCTTCCACTACTGATTCACATCAGCCATAGGAGTCCTGATTGGCCTACCGGGAACCAGAGCCAGAACCTGGTCCCCTCATAGAGGCACAGAGAGCTGGGAATTGTTACTATCACCCACTCCAGGTAAGCATCCAGAAAGTAAGCAAAGCACTACAGAAAACTACAAGGTTCACAAAGTGAAGCACCTAAACAGCCAAACAATTCTACAAATGATCATTCAAAACAAATGGTTCACTTAAAACTAGCTTGAGCTCCTTTTGTGCAAAAGGTTGATGACAGGTGGCATCCTGGAGCCCCTAGCTACCAGCCAGCTCCAAGAGCCAGATTCATGAAGCATTTACGAACCTGTACATCTTTTCTCAATCTTTGGCGGCTTTGTTTTCAATTATTAAACAGTTAATAAGCTCCGAAGCACCAGGAGGCTGTTTATAACAATAACAACAGTTGATTGGGAACTTTTCATGCTTGTAAACTGTTTAATAAATGTAACCAAAGGCATCAAAGATTGAGGAAAGATGTACATGTTTGTATGTACTTTCATAACTGCTTCGAGAATTTGGCCCCAGGTCAGTCTTATCACTGATGTAATTTAATGTGCTTCCTTGAAGATCTTCCGGAGTCACTTCGTCATAGTGAGTCCCACTTCTTTCTCAGCTAAATTCTGGCCATCCTTTGGACTGACTTCTTGGAGGCATTTGCTTGTTTGTGGTTCCAAATCTTTAGCATTTGCTTCACAAGTGTGTGTTTCTCTGACACACTGTTTGCATGGACTTGGTCTAATGTTGACCAAACCACACACTAGAAATTGAAGAGACGACGATGATTCGGTCCATCTTGGACCATTATCAAGTCGATTGGTCTAATATCACCATGAGCTGCACATGTCTAAGTGTGAGAGAATGGTCTTTCAGGATTTTCCCACAGCTGCTGGAGTGGCATATTGCAGTGCAGAAGGCACCAAGCATGCTCAAGCAGTGCACAAGGCCTGTATCCTTATCACTGGATGGAAGTCTGTCATGTTGGGTATCTCTGGGCAGCCCACATATCCAGCAACATAGGAATCATATAGAGACTGCAGTGTGTCTAGTGAGGAATTAGATAGGGCAAATTAAGCAATTATGTCATAGCAATGAGAGTCGGAGTACACCAGGTTTGAAGGTGCAGGTCGTTAGAAATGTGACACCTGCCAGGCAGGGAGAGATGAGCAGTAATATTCAGGATTAGCCTCAACTGTTGCAAAAGAAAACTGTGACATAGTTGTGACATTATCTTCCTAGCCATCATGTATGGGCACATATGATTGGATCCAGCACCTGTGCTGTGATGCTGCTGATCAGTTTATAATGTTATGATCACTGCCTTGTTTGTACCTTTCCCGGTGTTGAGTCATTTCCCCACTCAATTTACATAATTGAGGGTCCAGAGATTGTCTCGGTTCAAACAGGTGGTGTGTAAATTGCATGGTTTTGGGGATTTTTTTTATTTTAAGGAATTCTAAGGAGGGTAACCCAAGCTACCATTTGTCCAATACAGCAGTTGAGACACCGTTTTGGGGTGCATTCCCGCTCTGAGCGATCCTGGATGTGAGACAATAGGATTGGCTGCAAGTTGAAGGCACGGACCAATCAACAGGTGACCTGATGTCATGTGTTCTCCAAGGAGGGCAGCTGCGTGAGGTAAAGCACTGTAACTCGGTCAGTCATATAGGTCAGACATACTATGGTTTGTTCCAAGATTTTAGCAGAAATTGAGGTTGCATGCCAAGTTGTCTTAGTGGAGAGCAAGAGACCTCTGGTAGATACAAGGAGACACCAAGAAAGCCCAGAGGATTTACATTGGATAGTCAATGATAGCCAAGTTGAGTTTGAGTTTGACTACAGCCGGTGGTCTGGAAGTGTTAGTGACTTTTCAGGTGTGGCTGTGAAATATCAAATATGGAGAGTGTTGTTGAGTCGCTCCACAGCCTATTATTGCCAAAATACTCTGACTACAAGGACAGTCCTGTTTGAAAGAGACCGATAGGTAGGAAGGTAGGAAGCCGATAGGTAGGAAGCCTCTGGGAGGTGACTTACATAAGATAGTCAATGACAGCAAGAGTCGAATTGTAGCCTTATGACAGCTGATGGTCTGGGACCATTTTTTATTCTCCATAAGGTAAGGGCAGTGAAGTGACCAGTGATAAGAGTAACTCATGATAGTATTCATTGATGCAAGATGGTGCAATGAATAGTGGAGAATTATATTTCCGGTGCTTATTGAGGATTTTGTGATACGAAGCAATGACCCAGTGATTGTTAATTCGAAAGTAGTGAAGTATGCAGTGACCCAGTGACAGCCTACTTGTGTGTAGTGGAGAAAATGCAGTTTTCCAGTGTCTACCAGTTTAGGCATGGCAGGAAGTCTACAGTGATATTTGTGTTAAGTGTACAGCCACTTGATACAGTAAGCATAGCAGTCACAGCCGACAGTGATATTGGAGATAAGTGATGAGTATTAGTGTACAGCCACTCAGTACCAGCGACGTGTGTAGTGTTAGCCACGGAGACCAACAAAATCTACAATGACATGTTATTGCAGAGGGGGTTTTGGGGTTCCAGCACACACATGTTGGTCACCTGCAGTTGTGAGGATCAACACCCTGGAGTGTGACTAGAGTGGTGACCCAGTGATAGAACCACCAAGTTACTTCCTGTCATCTCCCCTAGTATGCCGGTTGCCAAGAAAAGTGACTGTTGCAGCATTTATTTGGTCCAGACAAGGATATAACGACTAAGAAGACTACAAATTAAAGATTGCAAGCAGAGAGCCAGCACCATCAAGTACTAGTGGGCCAAGGGAGTCGCTAGCTGCTGTTATATCCGTTTGCAAGTAAGAAGGGCTCCCGAAGTTAGCTGATTGTCATCAAGCGTCATATCTGTAGGTAAGTAATTTCCCTTTCCTTACTCCCCTCCTTTGAGTTAGATTTATTCTGAGGAACAATAATAGGTGTTTATTATAATTATTTTGACTGTGCTAACTTTATATGAATATATTTAGGATTGTTTGCAATATAAGTACTGTACAGTATTCAAGCTTGTTGCTGCAGCCTAATAGTGGCTTGATTTTTTTATTTGTATTCATGCCAGTTATATAAACTTAAAGCTAATATATAGATAAATTTATTCTTGATAGCCTCAGTAAGTTGTACTTTGAGTTGTTGCTCAAGAGCTAGTTTTAGTGACACTTGAGTGAGTGTGTCACAGTAAACTTTAAGTTTAATGAGGCCACGAGCAGCCAGTTGCTGTTTTTGTTTGATGAGCAGCTAGTAAATGTTATTCATTACACCAAAATGGTTACAACATTGGTTACATGCAGGGTACAAGGCTACTTGTCACAGGTTGTAGAGTTCCTCCAGCTCCTCAGATGGCAGGCAGGAACCATGGGTGCAGTGAGCATTTCTTCTCTGGATTGCCACATTAAGGCGCTGAAAGAGGAAACTGGCAGCTCTAGGGTCTCTAATTGTTTCAAGTAGCTTGGAACCCAGCTCCTTTAAAAAAGGAGCTCCTTTAGCAGCACTTTTAACCCAAACACCAAGTGTCTCTGAGGCAATGGGGACAAAATTGTGGTGGTGGTCAAGATCTCTGTACTTACGCGACTTGGCTGCTTCCCGGTGATTGGCAGCACTGCCTGCCTGTGCAGCACTGAAGTCAACATAGGTGTTGGCCAAAGTTGAATCACAAGTGTAGTCCCACACCAACTGTCTACCATTCTTCCAGGGATTCACCGTGATCCTGTCTGGGTGACTGACAGGCTCATCAGACTGATAGACTACTGTTTTATGCTTTATGCTAGAAGCCTCAGGAAACCTAGAGGATTCAGTTGAATCCCAGGTTGCAAATATTTTATCATGTAGTGGTCTAAGGTGTTTGGAAGTACCCAGAACATAGGTTCAAATTCTCCTTATGGCTCCTACTGATTTTCTCGTTTATATTATCACATTAATGTGATTTCTTTGTGCAAGGTTTATGCTGTTAAAATTTAACCATTTCTAAATCCAGTCACTACCCACACTTGGTTATTGATGCTTGGTTGGTTTGGCCTGGGAATGCATCATGTGCTGTGTCTGATAGCAGCTCTCTGCCACTGATTCTGTCTTGGTAGATGCTTTGTAGCCTTCCTTCCTGGTTAGTCCATGTAACTTCCAGGGAGTCCCTGCTAATTTCTCTGTGGGTGCAGTTAGCTTTAGGGAGCCACAAGGGCTTACTCCCAGACAGCCAGCATTAAAGGTAATGGAATGACGATTTCTAGGCGAACCCCAGTAGCTCCCCCGATTCTTTCCCTCCTTTCCAGGTCATTGATTTGGGGTTCTGTGTGCATCTGCTCTGGAACCAAGAGCATGAGCCAGTGGACAGCATCAGCCCCCTCCCCTCCACCCCCCACAATAAGTTTAAGAGGTGGGACAAATGAGAGCACACTTGTTTTGAAACATTTTTGATTGTTTACATTTTTGGGACAGCTTTGGTCTCTTTGAACCCAGCAGTGGTTTGTATTTGTTCACTGATTTTCTGAGTGCCTTCCCCAGTGAGGTGGTGGAGCATCACCTGCTCTTGGCCTCTGGTAAGCAATTAAAGACGCCTAAGCTGATGTGATTGTTTGCATGGAGTGTAACATATATGGTTTTTGGTGACAACATTCAAAGAGGATGATGGTTTTTGTTGTTTATTTAATATAGATTACATCAGTTGAATGTTAGAAATGGTACGGAAGTTTCATGATAATTTGAAACAAGGATGCTTATTATATACTGCTGGCTAAGGTAGGACGTAGTGCTAAAGGAGGCTAGGGGCCTCGATCAGAGCTTGAGCAAGGCCTGGGGTTAGAAAACTTGATGAAGGGTGAGAGCAGAGAGCTCAAACATGGCTGTCTGCTGTAGCGAGGCTTGTAGTGTGGCGTGAAACCAGGAACTCGACTGATGATGCTGCATATTCAATTGTTACATCTGCAACCACCTGACCTTGTATTGGACCTACCTACCAAATAACGTTTGCTTCCTTATTTGGTAGGCTGGTCATCATATGGTCTGATAGGAAGAATGCTGGTTACTTTTGACTGTCCTAGATGATTTGTGGAAATCTTTAGGATTTGTTTCAAATGTCGTTAATGGTTTGTGAAGATTGCAGGTGTTATAGGCGATTATGGGGATTATTGAGAACTTTTAAATACTTGGAGTCTAATTTCTTTGAATGTGGAGTAGGTTGGAGATAATTAAAGTGGCAGTCACATAAGCTATCACTTCAGTTATACGGACCCCCCCCCCATTAGGCTCCTCTAGACACAACATTACACATTATGTAATCACTAACTTGTCTATTGTATTAAACAATTATACTGTATCATTATTCTGATACAGTATTTGTGTGTGTATATATATTCTCACTGCCTTGACATGTGCTATCACTGTCCATTTACTTGAACTTACCTGCCGACCACCATCTCTAGTGGCCAGGACGGGAAGCCACGATGGCTTGTCAACGGTCCCCTCTCTTATTCCTCTTTCAGGACTAATTGTGATGGGCATGAAGACAATTCAGAATAAGGTATTAGAAGTAATTCCACCAGTAGTAAAATAATTTTATTTCAATATGAAATATATCAATATAATATAAATTACACATAACCAAGTAATCTTAGTTAAAAGCTTTTGTATCTTATGTCAGTCATTATACTTTCACTCTGTTTAGACCTTATTAAACATTGAAACAACACATTTATCAAGCATTTTCAAATTAAATGTATCAAAAGTGACAATATTAATTCAGAATTGGTTATTAAAATGTTCTTATAAAAAAAATATATACAGTACCTGTATTGTACTGTATTCTTATTTCAGCTTCACTGCTATGACCTATAGGCATGCAATGTTTATATTTTGAACATTATAAGCCTATTTGACTTGCAAAAATATTGTACTAAAAGATCTGAATACAAATTATGTATGCCATTTGGGTCCAAATTATTAGAGAGAAAGCGTATAATGAATACATAGTGTATTACAATGGCTGGTGTAAAGCTTTTTCGTAATAACTTTACAAAATAATTTCTAGAAATAATATTAAGCAACTATGGGAATGTATGGTTACTTTGATAAGATATGAAAGGGTATAAAAATACCATTGGTCAAATGTTTAGGATGTCACAGATAAGTGAAAATCTTTACCTTTAGGTTCCTTTCTAGATGCGCGTACACCATATGTGTACCTAAACAGCAATTATAAAAGTTTCTACAGTGTTTTGAAATTTGGATTTGCACTTCAGTATAACAGTTCTGTAAAATACATGGAAGGCAAGCCCTTATTCATTTAAAAATCCAGATCAGGTGTGCCTTATCCCAAAATTTGACTGAACATTGTTTGGTTGACAAATAAATGAAGTACAAAATGCTGACTTGATATACAGAAATGCCAAGATCAGAGGAGACTTGAAAATAACACATACCTGTATGGGCTTTAATAAATTTGATTTGATAAAACCCCCACAGGAAAAAAAATTTCTTCAAATAAAGTTTACTCTATGGTCAGCATAGTCAACTTACAATTTAATGGTTCCAGGTTTGATTCATGGTCAGGATGAGACATTTATTCAAGTTTTCTTACACTACATGCCTCTATTCACCCTGCAGTAAATTGGTACCCTGCACAGGAATCAAACCCGGGACCATTCAGTTGTGAATTGACAGTAGTACATTGTAGATGAAGTAAGATCTGCAGTGATAATTACTTTTTTTTTTATTGTAGCTTACAACCAATTTTGATAAGCAAACTTCTCATTCTTGCTTATGTACATGTATGTTGACACTATTTATTCCAATTTTAACTCTGCTTGGAGAGGAAAATTTTCTTCTGTTCATAAAGTCGTTGCAACAGGAAATGATAGAGTTCCACATCATCGGTCATTCTTCTCAGCAGTTCTTCTCGAGTTGCTCTGGGAACTTCAGGTTTCCTTTGATTTTTGTTGACTATAATATGCTCCCTTTGTCCTAAAATATAGACAAATTTAAGAATTCAGACAGATTAGTTAATTTTTGTTTTCTAGTCTTTGTTTTATTCTTTACTGTAAATAATATGACTGATGTTGTTTCTAAATTTCTGTTTCTAAATTATGAATTTTCTTTCTGATATAAGTACAGATATTATTCATTGAATTAACTCTCAACACAGATGAGAGCTTGACCAACAAATTTTCATTTGAGAACTCTGTTTACAAAATTAATTTCATTAACCCCTAAACTGTGCAGCTATTTAAAAGTATGTACTACAAATATTTATACTACAGATAATGGTTAACAAATATAAAAATAGCATAAGGTGATTAGAGCAGTATGAGGAGTTAACATTGCTATAATACTGCAACTGAGTACTGTACTGTACTTACTTATATTTTCATATATTTGCAGAGCTCCTGTCAAGTAGCGAGGCACAAGGGTCTCCATGAGATGGAGAGAGAGAGCCATGTATTTCACCAATCCAACAACACTGTATTCTTCTGCTACAACTTTCTTAGCAACCTGTAGAGCATCTTTATGTCCGAGTATCCTGCAGGAAAACATAATTGGATGTGCAAGTTAGTATACATATAGTATATATACATATAAATAATACTGTAAGAAAAATAAGCCTTTGTCCAAAGTTGGAGGCCAGACACTTGGGACTAATCTAGCCAGAATTTGTAGGGGAAATGGTCTGGGGTATGGGATGGACATAGGTTGGTCAGGGTAGGCCTAAGTTAAATGATTTAAGAAATATTAGTAATTATTCACCCCCCCAATCAGATTCTCAAGTGTAATTACCTATGTGTAGTTAGAGGATGAGAGCTACGCTCATAGTGTCCTGTCTTCCCAGTATTCTTTGTAATACAGTATAGCATTTTGAAACTATTGACAGTTTTGGCCTCCACCACCACCTCACTTAACTTGTTCCAACCATCTAGCACTGTTAGCAACAGTGAACTTATATATGTACTAAATTTGTATGTACTTAACATATATGTGCTATACGAGGCCTAGGAATAATTCAGTTTGTTATTGGCTTTATTTTTTCTGGACTCCATAAAATGAATAGTATCAAATTCTATTATCTAATTGTCCATTACGACAATATATGTATGATGGGCCACATAGTTTAAAAAAGTACTATCTATACAACAGGACAAGTTGTAAAGAGAGAGATGCACAGACAGACAGTAGGTAGATGGATAGAGGTATGGATAGATAAGAAGATGGATGGAAAGGATAGATAGATGGATATAATTCATTGGAGATAGATATATGAATAGAAAGACTAGTAGGTGGATGGAGAAATGGATGAATAGGTAGACAGATAAATAGATGAGCAGATAGATGGAAATGATAGATAAATGGATGTAATTCATTGTGGATAGATGGACAGATAGACCTGGTCAACACTGGATAGATCAATAGTTGGATAGAGGTATAGATACGTAGATGAACAGATGGATTTAATTCACTGTGGATAGATAAACAGATGGGAAGGGAATCTGATTGGTGAAATTTTGTAATTGGAGTACCATAAGGTTCCATTTTGGGTCATTACATCACCAACATACGTGAGAATATTACAAATCAATTCAAATTTGTAGACAACACTAAGATCTATGGTAAAGTGGGAAGCAAAAATTATATTGAAGCATTACAAGGAGATTTACATGAACTCCACAAATTGGTACAAGATTGGCAAGTAACCCTATGGGTGACAGAGATGCTCCATCACCCATAGGATTATAAACCCATGGAATTGCCTACCTGTCAATGGTGTAAATAGCAAGAAAAGATATTATTTCAGTTTAAAATTCATCTGGAAAAATTATTCAGGAGTAAGTGTGACTTTTGACAAGCTGCGACTTCCTTCCCTCCCCCCCACCCCTTGTTGACGCCACTGGAATTGGTGATCCCCAGGAAAATTAAGTTAAATGCAAGTACAGTGTCTTCTGTACATTTTTATTTTTTACAAAACATTTACCAAGTTAGTGGTCGTAGGTAGATCTTACCGGCAGAAGGTGTGGTGGCCACAGAAGTATGTAACAATTGTTTCCTTGTGTTCCCCGGGGAGGAACAAACACTCGGTGTCATTGTACAGCACACACTGCTCCACGGTTCTGCACACACAAAGTGAAACTCTTATCACGATGAAAATCCTAGAGAAAGCCAAACCTCAATATATATAGCAATGCATATAGGTCAACCGTACATGTAGAGGTGCATTATTATGACTCAAATATACTATGCATAGATATGTATACCCATATATACTTGCATATCCTACATGTTTAACTGCCATTGTTGGGGAACAGCAACACAGCAGCAAGCAAGCTACTAACAGCAAGCTGGCTACTTCTAACTAGCCCCCTCGAGGACACTGGAGATGGTGCCCTTTAGGTAAATTCAGGTATAAAATTACCTGTTTACCCAGTTGGGTGAGAAAGTGGTCCGGTGGCCTCGAGACTGTATACGGTTGAGTCTCTCTTGGCTGCGCCTGTAGTAGAAGGACGAGATGAACCTCTCCACTGGGTCACGGATGATGTTTATGTAGACTGGCCGGTCCATACCCAATCTGAAGGAAGGCACACAGGTTAGTACTCCTTCACTCACTACTGGAAGGGTCTTGCTTTAGTAGCAAGTGAAGGGTGTCCTTCACTCACTAGGGGAGTCCTTCATGCACTACTAGGAGGAGGAACTTACTTTTGGGGGGAGTCCATCTTGCACTACTAGGGGGAGGAACTTACTTTTGGGGGAATTTTTCCCACTTGCTACAGAAAGTGACAGATGGAAACATGCAGTAATGAAATAGATAGCAACATACATTAATGAGATAGATGGCAACATTCATTAATGTGACAGATGCAAAAGATAAGAACAACATACAGACAACAAACAAACAAACAAGTTAGGCTGTAGACAACAAACTTATCCACAGCCAAACCAAAACAAAATTTAATCAAGTTTCCTAACATTAAAACACCCTCAAGGAGGTAATAAACCTCACCAAAAGGCTACAATTTTAACCATGGGAATATTAATTCATCAAAAAAATATTCGACACCCACTCTGTGAAGTTTGTGTAGTAGATGTGTCTATCGTAGCTGAGGGTGTGGGAGGGCGTAGAGTTCATGGAGGTGGTGAGGTTGTCTACCAACTCCTCACGGTCCTCCTGAGTCAGCTGGCGCTTGTCGTAGATGAGTGAGGACACGTGATCAAACCCCAGGTGACGTGACAGTCTGTAAAGAATGACATGATTCGAACACCAGGTGACATGACAGGCTGTAAAGAATGACATGATCAGTAACCCAGCAACATGATAGTCTGTAGGGAATGACATGGTCAGAACACAAGGTGACATGAACATCTGGTGGGTAAGACATGATAAGCACAAGTAAATAGACATCTAATAATATCTACATTATCTAATAATGTATTAATTATTATTTTTAGTGAAATCACAATAATGTGATGAATCTATGATATAATATTGATGTAATGACATGGGATTGAACTTGCCACCTTGGGCTCCCCAGACACGCACTACCCACTGAAGGTAGGGAACATTATTATCCACACCTGTGTCTAGGTCGTCCAGACTCTAGGTCCGGTAGGATGTCAGGCTGAGATATCCTTTATCTCATCACAGTGTCTGGGGACTCCAGGGATGCGGGTTCGGTCCCATTCCGTAGTCTCAATATCGTAAATTATTATTTGTATATTTTATATAACATTTACAGTAGCTTAGTGTGAAAGAATACGCCTATTTACGTATTTATGTAATATATTCAACAATTGGAACATTGATTGTATTTTATATAATGAACCCTAGAATTTGCTAGAAATGAATTATTGAAAGCCCTCTCGAATTCAACTATTTGCTATTTAAATACTAGAACCATTTGTTGAATAGTGCTTTGTTTTAGTTCTCAGAACTCTATAAATAACATGCTGACTAACTCCTGACTGCTAGGTGAACAGAGGCATTAAGTGAAAGGAAATGTGTCCAACCATTTCTGTCCCGCCCAGGATTCGAACCCGGAATTCTCGATTGTGCGGTTGAGAACGAACTCGACTGTATTACCGGAACCCTTTATTTTGTACATACCTTCTAAGGATGGTCTGCATGGTGGAAGAGGCACACTTGGGGATCCTGTTGTAGACCAGGAGAGAGGCACCGATGGGCGTAGCATTGTGTCTGCCTCCGGTGTATTCACCCACCTTCAAAATGTACTCCTTTACCTCATCATCACTCTGGCCGAGTCTCTCCACAAGTTCACTAGCATTTTTCCTCTGTGTATAGACCACTTGTGGGTCCCCACCCCTTTCATATTCCACTGTGGCTGCACTGGAATTGTCCTTTTCACTAACATGGTCATCTGTGCTTGTTTCCTTAAGGAAAGTCTGTTTTTCACCGGCCATTACAATCATTACCTTTTCATTATGACTGATTTCGGATTCCAATCTTTCTGGCCTTATGAATTCTTTATGCCGCAGCCTTGTCTTAATAGGTGACATCAAAGTTCCAGCCCTGATATCATGTAGGTAATCTGAAAACAAATTGGCTACTGTAGGTGTATAGCACAGTTTTTACAGAACTTAGGTATGTATAACCCCTTAACAAGAATAGGAGAAAATTAACATGTTAACATTATTTGAACATAGCATTCTGAATATAGTACATCATTAAGACCTGTATATTAATTCTTAATTCCTTGAATTATGTTTGTTTGCTTACTTCCTATTTAATAATACAGCCCATCCTCCTGTACTGGCAGTACTGTACTTATAGTGACGATGAAGTCCAAAGTACACATACCGACATACAACCCAATTAGAAAGTAGAAATTAGTACTACAGAATTTGAACAAAGTGGAAAAGATTTTCTAGTATTTATGTTGCAAAGACAAACTAAACTAACCTTCCTAAGCCTAATACACAATATCTGAGGCCTAATATAGTACATGTGTGTGTTATACTAGGCCTGGGAATATTAGTTTTTAGCTTCATTTTTTGGACTACAAAGTAAATAGTAACACACACTACTATCTAATTGCTAAGCGCAACAATGTTTGTACTGTGGTGCACCTAGTTACAAAAACTTATCTAAACAGGAGGATGGGTTGACTAATAAGTGTCTACATCGTTAAACCTTTATAGTATTTTAACTTAATTATTTTAAGCTGTGCCCAAAACGCTCTGCTTATTTATACTTTAGCTTACTAGTAACTTCGACGAGGACAGGAAGCCGACGGAGTGTCAAATGTTCCCCTCCCCCCATTTGTCTTGACAATTTTATAGAGCTGGATCTTGAAATACAGCAGTGTTTTGGTATATAAGGCTTCAGCATTTTAGCAGTTCCATGGGTTTATAACCCTATAAGTGAAAATGTATTTCCTGTTTTTTGTCCTGTATTGGGCTTATTCAGCTTGAAACCCTTGTCCCTCGTGTTACATCTGACCTTTTGAAGTTGTTGTCTGGATCACTATGACCCTGTTATGCCTAGTTTGCAGTGTTGCTAGCCCTGAGGCTGACAACACTGGGGGGGGGGGGAGAAATGGTACCCAACCACTTGGACGGTCAGGGATTGAATGCCAACTTTCATGAAGCATTACTTTCCAGTCCAAATGGTTGGTAGAGAAAGAGAGGGGGAGGAAAAGAGGGAGCAGACAGTTAACCAGTGAGCCAGCTATCCACCCACTCATCCATCCAGCGAATCCAGCCAGCCAGAAGTAGACAAACATAAGTTACAGAAACATCTTCAACACTAACCACCTCATTACCAGACCAGATAAACACAATGTTTAGGGAATGAACATAATAACATTGCTAATAAAAGACCTCATAAAAGGGGGTAGGAACCTCAATTTCACCACAAACTTGTGGCGAGTCAATGCATTGTTATACCTGAGCTCAAAAGCCGGATTGGGTAGTGGTGGTGGCTTGAGGTGTGGGGCACTGGATGCCAGGGTATGCCATGTCTTCCCAGAGGCATGTGGGCACGCCGGGGGTTCACGATCTCTCGACGCCCTCTGGAATACTCAGAGGAGGAGCCATTATTACCCTGGAGGGAGTCAGGGAGCCTCGGTTGGTAGAGGGCATTAGTGTTGCCTTCGTCACCAGTAGTATGACCCGTGAGACCAGAACCTCTCCAGCGTTCTCCAGATGTATCAGATCTCTGGAGGGTTTGGAAGGTATGTAGACTCTGGAGGTAGCGGTGACTGCTGACGTGCGGGCGGGGCGAGGGTGGCAAGACGTACTCGTGCGGCAAGGTGGTGGTGGAGGGGGCGGCGGGCCCGGGAACCTGCCACAGCACCAGGAACATCACACACATTGTTGCCCAGGTCATT